GCTCACAACACTTTCTCATGCTTTTATCACACTAGATTTGTGAAAGGTCTAATCATTTGTCAAATAATAAAAAATTAGTCCTGGGAAATTAATTACTAGATCTGCGCAAATTACATTAGCAATGCTAAAGGTTTTCTCAGGGAAAAAGAATGGAAGTTTGGTAAGCACCCAATTGGATGCTTACTCGTCACCTTGGCTTTCAGCATTCTCCTAAGGACGGTTTCTCAAACGTGCTTAGTGAGGCCTCCAGGATGTTAATGCTATCACCTTTCAGTAACCATCCGTAGTCAGTTTGTTGGTTCAAATATTTTCAACCAAATTTAAATTCCCTTAATTTCTTCCCTTCATATTTTAATTTTCCCTTACTCTGATTCTATATTCATTTACTCCATCTCTCTCTCTTAAACATCAATTAAATATACAATGCTTCTCTCTCAAGTTCCTTATATTTCAAAGTATGCTTGGTGTGGGGAAAGAGTGTAGGAGGGTAAATATGGTGCAAATATTGTGTACACATGTATGTAAATGTAAAATGATACCTGTTGAAACTATTCCAGGAATGGGGGGGTTGAGGGAATAAAGAAGAATAGAGGGGATGAATTCAAGTATGATATATTTGATATATCTTAAGAACTTTTGTAAATGCCACATAGTACCCCCAGCACAATAAAAAAAGAAAAGGAAAAGAAAGTAAGTTTGATTATGCCTTTGTGGAAAAATTTGAATCACAGACTTAGTTATTGACATTTTTTAATCTGCCAATCTGCTTTAAATACTCTTGCCAATTCACCACATAGGGAAATTAAGAGACAAAATAAATGTCTAAGAATATTATCTTTCCAAACAAGATTTTAGATATATAGAACTGCAGAAAATTCTTAATTATTTCTTATAAACTTTGCAAGGGTAGGGCTTTACTTAGCTATAAAATTCCATTGATGATAACTACGAAAACTTCAATGATCCAGAAAGTGTTCCCCATCTGCTAATTCATCTTTCAAGTCTGCTATCTAAAAGTTATTTCTTTTCTTTTTCAATGAGAATTTCTTGAACACCTACAATGTGCCAAGCATTATTTTAGGCAACTGAGAATTATCAACAAATAACAAATATCCCAGGGCTTATGAAATTCACATCTGTCAAAGTGATATGAACTATTTAACAGAAATCTAATAAGTAAGTACGGTATATAAACTTCAGTAGATGATGAAAAATATGGCAAAGCAAGATATGGGACACAGGAATTGTAGGGCTGGGTAGAGTGGGTAGGTTTGTAATATTATGTAGGCTGATCAAAGTAGGTCTCATTGAGAAGATGAGATTTGAGCAAAGATATGAATAAAAAAATGAGTTGAGCAATGAATAGAAGTGATAGGATATTCCAGACAAAGTGTAGAGTTAGAGAAAAAGTCTAAGGCAAGAAACTAAATAGCTAATGGGTATGAGGAATAGCAAGACAGCCAGTTGATGCCATCTGAGCAAACAAAGGAAATACACTGCTGTGGTAGATAGGTAGATGTAGAGAGACGAGATCAAAGAAGTAATGACTGGATTATGTCTAATCCTTCAGTCATTGTAAAGATTCTGGTTTTTGCCCTAAGTGAAGCGGGGAGAGGTAAGTCTTTACTTGATGTTAAGTTAATGAACGATGTGATACTATGCTTTAAAATGTTCACAGTAAATGCAGCATTGAGAAAAGAAGGTAAGGAGACAAGAGTAAAAAACAAAATTATGTAAGAGGTCTGTATCAACAAGAAAGCCAGCATATAATGTTAACTGGGATCCATACAAGAGCGTTAGCAAGGTCAAAATGCCCAGATTCTGGATGTATTTTGAAGACTATCTCTGTATTATTTCCTATGGAAATAGATGATCTATGAAACAAAATTTAAAAAATCAAATGTGACTCTCAGTTTTTCAGTCTGAGCAACAAGAATAGTGTGATCATAAACTAAGATGTGGAAAATTGGTAGTATGAAGGAAATGTTTGAGGTAGAAGGAGACCAAGAGCTAGATTTCAAATATGGTGAATTTGACAGACATAAGAATGTCAAGTGGAGCTATTGATTTGGCAATTGAAATAGACACATCTGAAGTTCTGATAACAGATTTCAGTCTACAAATGGAAAGTTGAATATTGTTACAATATAAAACAGAATTTAAAACTACATCAATAAGCAAGATTGTTAAGAGGAGAAGTGTAAATATAGACAAGAAGACAATCAAAGACTCAGTAAGGGGACCTTGAAAATTAAGAGAATGAAGTAAGGGGAACCACCAATTCAGTTTGCAGTGAAATAGGAGGAAAGTGCAGGAAGCCAACTAATGAAAGAAAAGTAGCAAGAAAAGTCAATAGCATCAAAGCCCACCGATAGATCAAACAAGATGATAACTAACAGATACCATGATAAGTGTAAGTTATTAAATGAATGAGATATATTCACAGAGGAAATGGCATATTCATTGCTTTCAGTTATTTGTTGCTTGATGTAAATTAAAACCTTTAGATATAATCTTAAAAGAGACCAGAGGAGATTTCTGAAAAGTACATAAACCAAACTTCAAATTTCAGTGCCACTGAAGTACACTAAGGATTTTTCTGTAGCAATCAGACAATTCACCTGCTACCTTTTGGTTTATTTGCTTTTCTCTCCAAAATAAAGGGAGGAACTACAGAGTTTTCAGAGTTCCTGTACTTCAACACTTTCATGATTTAAAGATAAAATAACACTGTAATCCTGCCAGTAGATACTTTCATTCTTTAAATATTGTTCTCTATGCCTTGTTTACATTTTTATAAAGTAAACATATAATATGCATGCAGATACACATATTTTAAAATAAGAATTACAGGTGCACATTCTTACTCACTTGATATGTTAAATAGGCAAGGTAAATGAGGCAGAAGAACCATGTCTGATTGACACATTTCTGTTCAATTGTTCAAGTTTAGATAGATAATACCCAACTCCTGAGTTAAAATTAAACATATTACATTTTCCACAGATACAAATTTAGTCACAAAAAATATGGTTTATTCATTTCTCTGTGAACAAATTGAAGTTTCTCAGACACCTCAGCTTTTGGTTAGTAAAAAAAGAGAAAAATATAATATTTAATTTTATGGAAATTTAATCTGTACAATACTTTAAACAGTTATTATATGTACATGTTCATTCTTGTTGGACTTGGCAATGGAAATGGCAGTTCTGGGCAATTCTAAAACTATAACACATGATGTCCAAAGTACAGATGTTTCTCAGTGTTAGCTGACAAAATGTACAGCTAGTTAATTTGTAACTCCTTCTCTGGCTCAGTTTGATCAGAGCCAAGTAACCTTTCATGGTGAATTAGCCTCACCTTACTCTCATGGAACCTGAAAAATTTCCCCTAAAGTCTAGCTATGTCTCCCACATGGTGCTAGCCAATGTGATTTACTCTTTAGCTCTTGAAGAATTATTTGCCTTCCATAATCATAAACAACACCACCTGGCAAGTTCCCATAGCAAGTTCCCAGTTAAAGTCCAAGTTCCTCAATCAGGAACAGGTAAGGAATTTGAGGTCTTATTTATGCTAGTTAGAGGGTTCTTATTCAGGGACTTTCCTCTGCCTAATCTTATTGTGTTACTGAATTTACTGCAATACGGTCATTTTCTAGAGTCTTAAAAATGATAGGGGCAGAAGCCACTATGCCTCCACATTTTCACAGCACAATATAAAAAAAAACCTATAATGATTAATCTTGATTGTCAACTTAATTGCATCGAGAAGTGGCTGGCTAGGAGATTAGTAAAGCACATCTCTGACATCCAGATCAGTTTGGCTGTTGCCTCTGTTTGAAATGATGCTGTTTTGTGAAGTCTGAAGCTTTGAAGTGCTACTTGGCATCTCCTTCCTTCTACTCACCATTCAAACATGTCAGATTTGGGAAAATACTGGTTATGTGGAATTGTGTTTGCCTTCATTTGGTCATCTTTGCATGAATCCAATGGTTGTGGGGCTTTTGTTGTCATTGATGATGATGATCCTTTGGGGAGTTATCCTGGGTTTATAAAAATAGTTTTTAGCTAATGCTCATGAAGAGAGTGAATACTTAGAACTGTGCTCCTAATGAAAGGAAATCCTATCTAAGAAAGTATATTTCTTTACAGAGCTGTGTCATACCATCATTTGGACCTTCCACTGGAAAAGTAGAATCAGATCTCTAATAATGCCTTTTAACTCTGTCCTCTAGTATTGTAGATGCAGGGCGGTACTGTGAATGTAAAATATCTTGTACTTGCTTGGTGATACATAGTGGTGGCCATGCTTTATCAGAGCTATTTTTAATGATGCTACTCTAGAATGTTTTCTTTCCAGATGATCACTAAGAAGCTAAACAAACAAACAAACGAAAAAAGGATGCGAGGTACCCAAACATTTTACTTTTTAAAAAAACTGTTGGGGTACCCCTCCAAAAGGAGAAGTTAAATAAACTGACCACATGTGTCCCCTACCCTGGGTCTTGCAATGGTTAGCCCCCTCTTACTTTTGTTTGAAATGGTCGAGTAGATTATGTCTGTTTTTATGTAAGAAAGGAGTGGGAGTCAAATAAATTTACAAAATATTCTCATTCAATATTCGTTACTGAATAAATCCAGTTGGCAAGCTAGACACTAACTCTTTCTGTACATTTCACTCTAAACATGTTAAGTCCCACCCTACCACCAGACAGTAGAGGTTGAGTTTGATGGAGGAGAAGATACTGTACAGAGAATTGGAAAAGTGAAAAACACTTCAATGTCTTTCAAAGATTTTTACTGTTACAAAGAAAAAAAAATTTCAAAACTACTATATAATATCTCATAAAGTACTCAAGTAATGAAGACAGACTTATTCCACGTAATGAACTTTCTTGGGAATGACCAGATGTTTGTTGGTTCAGGAATTTTTGTCCTAATTATCTTGTATGGGTTTTCAGTCAAGACTATTTAAAAGGAAACTTACTGCTCATTTTATAGGGAACCAGGGAAGAAGGACACACAGACCCTGCTATGGCTGCTCAGGATGCAATGGTAACTAGAACCAACTCTTCACCTAATTGTAAGAGCCTGTTCAAGTGGTCTGGGCTGATTCTGATGGTCCTTCCTGGCTATGTGATGCTCCAGGTCCTGTGGGAAGCCTGTCAGCAGAAGACGGGGGAACACAAAACCATGCTGCAGATGATCCTGTGCAACAAGAGCTATCAACAGCTGTGGCTGGGTAATTAGGAGCTGGGGCTCTTTCTAGCCACTCAAAGATTATACAACAGCAAATAAGTCATTAATTCGAAAAAAGAGGAAATGTTGCATAGAAATAAATCAGTTATCTCAAAGACACTTATTTTTATTTATATTTATACAGATATGCTTCCTTTAATGACATTACTAAGAATAAAGTTTCCCTGTAATTTTTTTCAATAACTGAATTCTAAGTCTTTCAAAAACTAAATCTTTTAATAATTATCCCTTTTCTTAGATATATTAGCTATTTCCTGCCGGCTGTATTATAGTTGTCTTGAAAAGTATCTAGGGAACATAGTTTAATCAACTTATAATGAGTCAAGGTTATTATTGTTGATATCCGGACTTATGGAATATTGATACTGTTATGTTGGTCTTAGAGGTGCACTCAGATTCATTCACATTTTTTTAATTTTATCCAAATTGCTTTCTTTTTCCCTTATTTAAAAAAAGCTTTTGTTTTAAAACTAAGTCTATAAAAATTTTAAGTTTGGTTATGTTAACACACACCTTTGATCCCAGCACTATGGTGGCTAAGCCAGGAAGATTGAGAGTTCAAGGCCAGCCTGGACTACATAGCAAGAACCTGCCTCAAAAAATGTTTTTTAAACAGCCTACCTAACCCAACCCTACCTCTATACATGTCAATTAGACCTAATGATGATGATGATAATAACATACCTCCTTGCTTCTAACTTGCTATAAAAGTAGATGAGAACTAAAAGTTGCCCAGGATAAAGCCAGATAAGTTCTTGAAATAAGGGAGCTTTAGTTAGCATAATTTTAAGTAAGTAAACTCCAGGCTGTGCCACTGAAGGTGATTTTTTATTTCTCTGAATATTCTTTATAGATCTTATGCCTACTATTTTAATCATCACTGAGAGGATTTTTACCCTTAAATTTCATAAAAGCACTAGTTGGAAGTTTAGTGTTGACATGTGTGATTAATGACTTGCCATGTATTAAACAAATGGCTTATAAAGCTGACTGATCATGTGCTTACCTTCAATTTAAATCAGCAGTGAGTGAGTGAGTCCCTCTAGAGGTGGCCATTGGTCACCAGAAGAAGAAAGAACAAGTCTTTAGCATCCAAGATTTGTGTCACTAACTTAGACTATTTGTATTTGTTTCACAGTAGCTAATCACATAACTGACAGTAGTATTTTTAATTTTTGTAGAGTAACTTTTATCTTCAAGGTGTATAGTAAGCTAGTCAACATTTGTATTTTAAGCTTATGATACTTATAATATCTCCTTTGAATTAACACCATTTATTAAGTTTTTCAGGAATTTCAAAATATTTCTGGGCAAGACCTAGTAGACGCCATTAATGATTGCTACGATGGATACTTTCAAGAGCTGCTAGTTGCAATTGGTAAATAGTTTATGTCATATTGTAGATCTTTTATTCTACAACAAATGCTGTCTCTGACTGCATTAAAGGTACATGAATAGGCTCTTTATTGAGTCATTTTTTCCATAAATACAATTATTTAAAAGGGTTGTAAACTCAAGAAAAGCAAAGTATATCAGCTACGGATACAATGCACTAAACTGGAAACCTGGTGACTTTAATAAGCTAACTGGCATCATTCCCTAGAAGCTGGTTCAATTTTCATATGAGGAAGCAGAATTCTCAGATGCCTTTTTAAGGAATTGAGTTCTAACACTGTTACATACATTTTATATTTATTGCCTTCCATTCCTTTGTTCAAGTGCAGATAAATGCTAGCAATGTAGCTTTCTCCAAGAAGAAAATGGATTTTTGGTTTTGTTTTTGGTTTTTTTTTCACTATCTCTATTAAATTTGCCTTTAGGAATAAATCCTACCATAAGGAAATTTCCCATATCATCTCTTTTTAGTGATTTTTACAGGATACTGTAAGAGGGACACACATCCACTCTTCCCTGAGCAAGAAAGATAACTCTATAGAGGGAAAAACAGCTGTAAATTATTCATAAAAAGTATTGCAGAGCCGCTCATGCTTTATCTTGTACTGTCCTGTGACTTTACAACATGCATTACAGGAATTATGAATCCTTGTGAAATATCCCCCTAGTACATACTCATCAAATAATCACTTAGACATTTGTTGAATAAATGAACATTGTGGTTTTCCATTCCTAGAATGGCACATACATACATGGATATGGAAGTTGAGATATAATAGAATTTTCATGAGTTATCTAGTAAAGAGTTTTAAACAAGGGTACCATGAAAATAGTTTACCGAGTTCAATGAAACCTCTAAAATGGTACATAAAGTATGATGATTTATGTCTATGTATTTTTCTGACAATGAGATACATATATTCCATCAAATTCTCAGTAAAATCTAATAGCTATATATCACATCAAAACTGCATGTTTTATAAACAAAGTATAAACAGGTATTGTGACTTCCAAAGTCTCTATCAACTACTTAGCAACACAGTTATGAGTAGAACTTATGTCATCCAAACCTCAAAAGAGCTCATATTCCACTATAGACTATTGCCACAAAACAGTGGGCATGAGAGAGGAAACAGTAAGTAGTAGAAATACCTGAAAACACTAACTGGTTCATTTGTTCAATTGCAAACATTTAATGAGCACCTGCTATTCTGGTCACTGATTTAGGCACTGCAGATGAAATGGTGAAACAAAAACAACAAAAGTCCTTGGTTTCAAGGATCTTACATTCTAGCAGTGACTTGAGAGCTTTTTGTTTTTTGCTTTTTATCAGTGTCACTTTTCTTTGTATTAAAAACAAGAGAAAGATAAGGATATGTTCCCACTATCTAAAATAATTAGTTGAACTACAGAGGTAAGACTTATGATTAGTTTATTTTGGCTATAAGATATAGTCTCTCATATTACTCATTTGTGTATTAATCTATTTTCTTATCCAAATAAACACTATTAAAGGTCTATAATCACCAACTGAAATCCATCAGGGACAACTGCTGAGCAGGCTCTAGGCTATTCCTGGCAGTTTTGAAGAGATGACATCAAAAATTGGTCTAGACTTGTTGAGGTCATTGCAGTTTCTATTTAAGAGACTTTGGATATACTCACAAAGCTCTAAGTGATTTGAACTCTTAAGGACAAACCATGTGGACCATAATTGGTTAGAAGTCACCTGATGACACAGCATTCAGGAAGATGAATGAATTGCATGTGGTCTGTGTTATATTAACTTCTGCAATAATAAAAATAAATAAGAGTGGTGATGACCTGGGTCTTTTTGAAACACTATTTAATTTTCAGTTGAAGAAGATAAATTTGTTTTAACTAGGCTATATGAAGGAACTGACAGAGTTCCAAGAGATAGAGGTAGACGAATTAAAAATATGGATGATTCATTATAATATTATAATATAATATTATACAATACAATGCTTTATATTTTACAGTGGGCCATTGCATTACTATTATTTAAGTATTGAAATTAAAATACAATGTTAAGGTTATAATAGCTTAAAAAGGTGTTCCGTTTATCAAATTCTGAAGACATTGTATCTTTTCACTCAAGTGTCTTCTTTTCTCTTTGATCTCTTACAGTTCTCTGTGTCCGAGACAAACCAGCCTATTTTGCTTACAGATTGTATAGTGCAATACATGTAAGTAAGATCCACAGTTTAAAAATTTCTCCAGAAGTATTACCTACTTTCTTTAAGAAGACTGATTTTGCTTTTATTATTTAAGTATTCATTTCCATTTTAACCTATATGCATATATGTACATTTCAAAAAAAAGTTCAGGTTAAAAATGTGTTAAACACCAAAAATAAGACTCATAAATTAAAAATAAGCATAGTTTTTTGCATCACATTTAGGTACCTCATACATATCATTCTTTGGGCTCTATATCCTTTGTTGTCTTTAGAGTCTCAACATTCACAGAAATGATAAATCCAAATGTTTTCACATAATTTCGAAGGCCCCTCCATTACACTTATGCAAGTACAAAGTATATGTCACCAAGCAGAAAATATCAAAACGTTACAAACTTTCAGCAAAAAGAAGGCTTCATTTTGAAGTCTGAAAACACAAAATGTCAGTGACTATTTTTAAAAATAAATTATTATTTTTCAAAAAGCTAGACTCTAAAGCTATTTTTGTAATTGAATGGGAAGGTTTCTCATGAAAGATGTAGTGTGATATTCAATCTCACATCCTTTGGAGTAATGGTTTTTAAGGAAATAAACAGTTAAGTGCATCAAATAATACACACTTTATCCATAATGTACAAAAACATATTTAGAAAAAGATATCATATAGGTCATTACACATATGCCATATCCTTGAAAACTCAAAGAAAATTAATTTACTTAATTTAACATTGATTTTAACAATCTTCAAAATATTTTTTAAAATTTTATTAGCAGGTATGAACTGTACAAAATAGTGATTTTCTTTACAGCATTGTCATACATGTATAGCAGGTGTTCTCAAATTTTTATAGACCAGCTTCTCAAAAGTAGCCAGCACGCTGGGAAAACGTTTTATTACAAATCTTGTCCATAGGAATGTTTTTACTTAAACTCAAGAAGAACCTATGTAGCCTCAGAACAGGGAGAAAGACCAGTGCTCACTGTCCTCTGCTTCTTTTTTATTCTATTTTCAAGTAGAAAAGGTTGGTTCATTAAAAATTTATTTATTTGGCAATTAACATATTGGACAATGCTATATGATTATGTCATATATGATTATGTTAACAATTTCTTTCTCAAAAAAAACTGGTCCCTATGACTACAGAATAGAGCTCATGAATGACCCTAGGGGGAAAAAATCACAGCTACCCTGATTCCAACTATGACCAAATCCAGAGTTCCTTGTTCTAGTAATAAATAAAAACTATATTCTTGGTGTATGCATTTCAAAGGAAAAAGAAGATTCATAGGTTCACAAGTGGTTTGGAGGTATAGAGAAAAATTGTATATTCAAGAAATTTTTATATATGAGGACCCTGGCTGTCAAATATTTGTCAAACAAACTCTCTTTACCACCCCAAACCTGCTGTGTTTTCCTTCAAGTCACTCTAAGTGATTTACCACTTAAAACATGTAACTTGGTTAGATCATTCATTTTAATCACCTCAAATTATTGAAAGTTTTTTAGCAGATCTACATCCAAAACTTTCAGACATCAAAACTTAGGTTATGCTTCCTGGCCACCAGATGTCACCATTATTCCATGTGAAAAGCCATTTAAAACATTTGTTAGGTATTTCTGGGGCTAGTATCATATGCGGATATTGATTTTGTATTTTTTCAGTATTTGAATTCAAGTCAGCAAATATTTAACCAACTACATCATGAAAATGCTATTGCTGTCTTAAGCATATCAACATTCATCTGAGTTTAGAATTTTTCTCCACAAGGAAGAATATTTACCAGAAATACCCCATCATGAGGTTTTCACTTTATAATACAGTTTAGAGACAGTGCAAGATTGACAAAGCAGGAAAAGTGAGAAGCTATTGCCATGTTAGGGTGAATTAATGAGGGAAAAGTCCAGGTCAGAGTCAAGACACTGAAATTTACAAAGACAGATTGAAGAACTTAATTCAGTACAAGTGCACAGTAAGGGAAGGGAAGAAGTCACAGAAGGGACTCTTAGTTTCTGATTTGGGTACTCCATAGTAAGTGACACCATTTTTGAGGTATCAAGGCAAAAAAGCAAATTGCTACAGAAAAAAAGGAAGGCAGTACATTTTGGATAGGCTGACTTTAAGGTACTTTTTTCTAATTTTCCCCATGTATCTTTTTCTGTATTTTTAGGATTTTGGTTTCCATAATAAAACCATAATCAGGATTCTAATTGCCAGAAGTGAGATAGACTTGTTGACCATAAGAAAACGATACAAAGAGAGATATGGGAAATCTCTGTTTCATGACATCAAAGTAAGTCTCTTCCATGCAATTTATATTGACACACATATTATCATTTTGAGAATTGAGATAAAAGCTTTAATTTAAAAAACTTTGTTAGAATCTAAAAAGTTAAATATTGTGACAGGGAAGATTTACTTCAACACCTCAGATAGCCTTTAATGCATCATCAGGTACAACCTAGAAAATCCTTTTACCTCCATGACAGAACTTTTTACTCTTTGTTTTAAGCAAAATCATTGATGTGCTCAGGCAAAATACACATTTCCTAAAATCATGCTTCAAGTTAAGTTGTGAAGTATGACCAGGGTTGGGAAAATGCATTTTTCGGCAAGACCACATTATTTGTAAAGAGGAGTCTTACATCAGGTCACCTCTCCTCTCATATTGTCATAGAAGGTAGGGCAACAGAATGACCAAGAAGCAATTCAACAAACTAAAAACCAAGAGACCACAAAATCCAGAAGACCTTCTAGGTCCTTCAGGAGCCATACTGGTTCTAATATGTTGATGGAGCAGTTAAGAGAAATCATTCTCCTTTATCATTGGTAAAACTCAGTTTATCAACCTTCAAGATCATAGTCTTTCAGTGATGATAAAGAGTTCCTATTGAGAAATGCATGTAATAACCCATTTTCTAAGTGAATAAACTATTTCTTGCACATTTCTTTTATTTCATCACAGCCACCTGGAAGACTCTTAATATTCACATATAATCAATGCAACTTTACTATGTACATACAAAGCAATGAATCATAATTGCAGTTTTGTGTAAAAGAACATTAATAGTTATTTTTAACAAAGATGAATTTTATGACAGTATTTATTCTACTACTGTTTCAGACAATTTAGAAACTATGGAGAACAACAAAAAAAAAATCCTAATTCTCCACCACAGATAATCAGTAACAAATTTTGTTAGAAGTGCTACTATGGTCACAATGTTTGTATTCCCCCAAGTTTCACTGAAATCCCATCCCGAAGTAATGGTGTTAGGAGTCTGGCCTTTGAGAGTTTATTAGGTCATGAAAGTACAGCTCACGAATGGGATGAGTTTCCATATAAAATAGACTAAAGGGTGCTTTTTCTGCTATGTGAGTATAGCATCTATGAAGATGCTGGCCTCAACAGACACTGAGTCTCCTGTACCTAGCTCTTGGATTTCCTGTCCTGTAGAACTGTGAGAAATATATTCCTGTTGTTTTCAAGCCTCTCAGTTTATAAAAATTCGTTATACTATCCCAAATGTATGGAAACAGGTAGTTTTAGTCTTTTTCTAAAACATAGATGTTTGCTACCTAAAGAGAATATTTTTATTGAATCATGGTATCCTGTTGGATAAACTATGAAGTAAAAAAACTACTGTGCATTATTACACATTGTTTTTCAATTTTTCAGTACTTTATACAATATGATATGTATTTTTAGCATAAATCTTTGTGCTCATCAATAATTGATAATGATAATTTAAGATCATTTCTTGAAGTACATTACTGCATTAATGAGCATTAATATTTTCAAATCTTTTGAGATACAATATCAATTTGCTTTCCAAGCTCTACAGTGACTTATAATACCATTAAAAATAACAGGGCACCCCTTTGTAAAGTTGAAGAGAAGATTTTATTTTAATGCAAATTATTGGGCATATAAATACATATTATGGTTCCATTTACTTTAAATAAACCACGTAGTATTGACTATAACCATGATGTTATTTTTCAATACTTTTATTCAAAATAGCTTTCAGAAATTTTTTTGGATTAAAAAAAGTAAATAATTTGGGGACTTACACACAGCAATTCAGAGGAATTATGGTTCTTTCTTAGAAACACTATGAGATTTTATTTCAAGTACATTTTTTTCTTTTCAGAATTTTGCCTCAGGGCATTATGAGAAAGCACTGCTTGCCATCTGCGCTGGTGATGTGGAAGATTATTAAAATAAACAGAAGGAAAGATTTGGAGGACAACGTACTTCTCTTTATAGACTCATCAAAATAGAGACTTTCTGTTAAATTCGTGCTATCATTAGCACTATGACACAACTATAGAATGATAGTTTCTCTTCTATCTTTAAAATTATTCTAAGCCAAAAAAGTATCTATTATTGAATGTAGATGATCCTGGATTTGCACCTGTTAATCAATCAGTAGTAAATTAAATTATATATGATGGAATAATAAGAAAAAATTGTATTGGAATAGAATTTATTTAAATGTGAGCCACAAATAACCTACAAGAAAGTCTGTTCAAGACTGTCCTTCGCATGATTTGGGAAATCAATGAAACCACAGTGTGTGACCATTCTCCTTAGAAAATTTTCTAGACTCTTGTACACATACAACAAGCTAAAGTAATTCCTAAAAGAAAATAAAGCCAATAAAAGAAAATAAAAATATAAAACACTTAATTGCACCAAGATGTATACTTACCTGGATTGGTTGTATAAAAGACTTGGACAGAATAGCAGAGTATGTATCTGTAAGAACACACATCTGTGTATGTGTGCATAATTTGATTATATTTACAACCACTCTGGTGAAGGCAATTTAGCTATGTTTTATATGGTATTTAACCAACCACTTGTTTAGGCCATGCCAGGAGTCACTGCCACTGATTTTTGTCTTCATTTCTTAATACCAACATTAAAATTTTGGGGGAAGTTTTTATATGCTTTGCATTATCAGTGGAACCTGGTCTCTCTGTGTCTCAAAATGCATCAAATTGGGAGTGGAAAATGAAAAATACTCACTGAGATCAGATATTGGGAAGAACCATATTGATAGTCCAGTCTTTCCAAGAATCAAAGCCAGAGGCAGTTGTGGGTGAACATCCAAACCAAGACCAGAGGAAGCAGTGGTTAGTATGTCAGGGAAGGAAATAAGTCAAAATGAACCAGTGAAGAGAGCAGAAGTGCTTTTTCACATTTACAACATTTTTCAATACCCTATGGCCCAGTCCATATGGATTTGCTCATTCTGGTCTGTGGCATAGGTAGGAGATAAAGATCTACTCAGAACCTAGTATCTGATAGGAGGACTGAAATGGGACATTTCCAACAAGGAGAGAGCACAACATAGGAAAATTAAGAATTAGATTTCTGAACTCACTTTCAAGATTTCAACTTGCTAGGGTATATGATGTGATATCATTTTAAATTATGGTTAATTTCCTTCTTTAAAATTATAGTCAACATTTCAAGCCAAAATAATCAATGTTTAAGACATTTAGCATACATGTTATTTTTGCCAGGTAAAAATCTTAAAGGAAAAAAATCTTAGAACTCTGGTTTGGAATTTAGATATTAAAAACACTTTCCTATAAGTGTTTGAATAATTATAAAGTAGTTGAATAACTATAAATAATTGAATAATCATAAAATCTGTATGTTGGGCACATAATACATCTTATTTCTTTGTCATAGCATGCTGCTATCAAAGCAAAACAAATCTGGACTTAGATCTAAGAAAAGATAGACTTTATTCAAAAGCATTATTGCAATAGGAAGAATGATTCTATTACAATAGGCAGGGATGTCACCATTATAATAGCAACAGGAAGCTATCACTCAGGAAAAAGGAAATGTGCAGTGATCTTAAAGATTGGCATAGAAAAAGGATTTTTTCATTTATAGACACAAGCAAATAAAGCTAGAAAAAAATCAAATGTGAAAGAATGAGATGATAATGTATAGGGTGATTCTGGGGATATCTTTGGTTGGCATTCCAAGGCACATTTGATCTGTTTGGACAGTTGATCTAGAATGATTGATCTGAGGACACAACCAGGCAGTTATCAGGAGTGGGTGTTAGGGAGTGACTGATCCAGGGCTCAGTCTGAGGGCTGGTTAAATTTGGGAAGGTAGAAACCTGGCTCAAGTTTGTTCAAGTCAAGTGAACTGGTAGTATATCCAGAAAGTCAAGGACAGGGAGGGACTGTTCAGTTAATTATTTATGAGACAAAGGATAGGAATGTAGAAGGTATATCAAACATTGTCACAGGAACACAAGAGGGTAATCTCTGAGTCTTATCTAAGTCATGAGACAAAATGTGGCTCTTGTAAAGCTAGTTGTAAGCCATCTCCTGAAACACAAAATGATGGGAGAATTCTTGGCCATCTCTGTTTTCCAGGAACATAGTAACCAAGTAAGGTTTATTATTGTCAGTGTCTTTCTTTTTTCCAAAGTTTTGTATTGAATGCCTCACTTAGCTTTTAAATGCTAATATGACATTGCCATTTTCATGACTGCATAATTCACTTAGTGGGAAATTCTGCAAAAAAAAGAACTGTTTAAATTATCATTATAATCTGTGCTTAATGATGTAAAATTGATTATATGATCTTCAAATGCAGAAAAGTTTACCATACCTGATGGACTGAACAGCAAGTATAAAGTCTCTGGCTAAAAAGCAATTCCCAGATTAATCTATAGAGGAAAATAAATGAAGTAACCTGAGGGAATAAAGTTGGTTTTGCTGTGCTCCCAACCTCAAGTAAAGGAAATAAACAACCACTGATTTGCTGACTGATCCAGAGAACACAATAAAACCAGACATGGAAAGAGTACAAGGAAGTGGTCATGCCCTTGGCAACCAGTGTTTTATTATTGTCAGTTTAGATAGTAAAGAGGCTAATTAAAACTACAACACCCAATGATCTTGTAGATTAGCACATTTATATTACCAGAGTTAAATATTTCACAAACATTAAAAATAGTTACAGCTGGGCTCCAGTGACTCATGCCTCTATCTTAGCTACTTGTGAGGCTGAGATTTGGAGAATCATGGGCGATTCCAGCCCAACCCAGGCAAAAAACGTGAGACCCCCATCTCAAAAGAAAAAAAATCAGACTGTGGTGGTGCATGCCTGTCATCCCAGCAATTGGCGGAAGCATAAATGGGAGGATTGCAGTCCAGTCAAGGTCCAGGCAAAAACTGAGACCCTATCTCCAAAATAACCAGAACAAAATGGACTTGAGGCATGGCTCAAGCAGTAGCACAACTGCCTAGCAAGCATGAGTTCAAACACTTAATGCCAAAAGAATAGATATATATACTGTCAAATATGAGTGGTGTTTGCCAAAATGGCAGAGAAGGCAGCTGTAAGCAGCAAAGGCCATTCCTTAGCAAAAGCAATGAAAAATTCAAGCAAAAACTATGAGAATCAGCTTGTGAGGCTCCAGAAAATAATCAAAGATTTAAATGGGTGGCATTTTTATTTTCCCCTTCCCTGTTTTCTGTGCCAGCTGAGTGGCAGTCTTAAAGACAGCAGCCTGTGTTCCCAGGGTGGGACCTTGGTCCCTGCTTGCAAGGTTGCAGCTCTGATCTTATTAACAAAGAATGTGTTGTCTGTCTGTTCTGACCTGTGTGAAAGCTTCCTGTCTTTGTTTTGCCTGACTCAGAACCTGAGGCAGAAAAACAATTGTTAAGGTATGAGCAACCTGCAACTTACAGAGTAAAAGATTAGAGTCGAAGCCTACAACAGAGCACTGGAAACCTGTGAGGAAAAACCGGAAGAATTTCTTGAAGAATTTAAGAAGCCATGCACATGCCTGAAGCTGAATGCATGCTCTGAAAAGACCCGAGAAGACCCTACACTTCAGCCTCTAACTAGTCTCTAGGAAATGAAGGGTAAAACAGAGCTGTGGATGGCCTGCGTATTGAAAGGCATATCCCAACACAGAGCCAATGAGAGCCATACAAAAGACAGGAGATTTTTTACTTTCTTTTTAATTCTCTCCTCCTCTCTCTTTCTCTCCCCTCTCTCCCATTCCCGCCTATTACACTGAACCCATTCTAAAGACTTCTCCCAAACGGGCATGATGAACAGGCCTCCTTTTTCATGGTTCTGTAAGTATAATATATCCTTTTATTTCACTTGCCTAAGTGTAAATTTCACTGACATGTTGAAATGACTCTTAAAGACACTACAAAGGACACTTCCTCTTCCAATCATAACATACTATCACTAAGCAAAACCTAGATCCTCCTTGACTTCTCTATTAACCTCTTATTCCTATGCTAAAATTGTGCAAGAGGCTACCAATTGGAAAATAAGCAAAAGATACACAGGTTTCCCTCTGTATTATTCCTTGTAATTTCAAATATGTCTATAATTTTCAAAATATATCATTTCAATAACTAGCTAGCACAGAAGACTCTTTATAGATCAAGTGCCAACATGATTTTTCCCTCTCTTGGAAAAAGGGATGGGAATAAATTTTGGTAATAGTTATTCTCCAGTAAATCTTACTAGAGTCACTACACAAATTTCTCAGGAAGAAAATTTCCACATTATTACCAAAAATGGAATATAAAATGATTTCACAGTTCCTATGTAAATTGTTTTGTAAAAACATTTTATTTTAGATTGACATATAGTACCTATACATTTTATGGGACACAATGTGGTATTTCCATATATGCATAGAATGATCAAATCAAGAGCAATAATCATATCCATCACCTCAAAAACTTACTGTATTTTTGAGGCAAGAACATTTGAAGTCCTTTCTTTTAGCTTTCTTACAGTATACACTACATCATTGTTAACAATAGTGATTCTGTTATACAATAGAGCACCAGAACTGGCATCTCTACCTAACTGTAACTCAGTACCCAGCAAACAATGTTTTCCCATTCCTCCATGGCCCTACTTCCCTGCCTCTGCTAACCACTATTCTATCCTCAACTTCTATGAGGTCAGCTTACTAGACTCTATTTATGAGTGAGACCATGCAGCATTTATGTTTCTGTGCATGGAACATTTCATTTAAAATATTGATCTATGGGTTCATCCATTTTGTTGAAAATATCAGGGTTTCCTAATTTTAGGGCTGAAGAATATTACCATGTGTATGTGCACAAATATTTATTTATTCATTGTGGCTGTTGTGAATAAGGCTGCACTAGACATGTGATTTCAGATACACTTTGACATGCCTATTTCATTTCCTTTGATGTACACTCAGCTGTGAGATTACTGATTTGTATGCTAGTCCCATGTTTAATTTTTCAAGGAAACTACATGCTGTTTTTCAAAATGGTAAATTGGGCTATACTAACTTACTTTCCCATGAACAGACTATGAGTTGTTGCTTCTCCACATCATCACCAATGCTTACTGTCTTGATTTGTTGATAGTAACCATTCTAACTGGAGTGGGGGGAACAATTCACTGTAGTTTTGATTTTCCTTTCCTGATGGTTAGTGATGTTGAACATTTTTCCACATACCCTTCAGTCATATGTGTTCAGGTCTTTTGCCCATTTTTTCATTGGGTTGTTCGTATTTTTGTTATTGATTATCTAGAGTTCCTTCTATATCCAGAATATTAACCCCTCATTGGATGTTTACTTTGCAAATATATTCTTCCATTCTCTAGTTCTTTGCTCTGTTTCCTTTCCAGAACAAAAGCTTTCAAGTTTAGGGTAATCCCATTTTTCTATCTTTGCTTTTATCTGTACTTTGAAGTCAGATTCAAAGAAATCCTTGCCTAGTTCAAGGTCATAAAGCTTTTCCCTGATGTTTTCTTTAGTAGTTTCATAGTTTTGGGGTCTATCTCTAAGTCTTTAGTCCATGTTGAGTTGTTTTTTTATACAGTGAGAGACAAGAGTACAATTTCATCCTTCTACACATGACATCCAGTTTTTCCCAGCACCACTTATTGAAGAGACTGTTTTTTCCCCAGTGGGTATTTTTTGGCAACTTTGTTAAAGATCAGTTGGCTATAAATTGTGATTTATTTCTGAGTTTTCTAGTCTGTTCCATTGGTTGATGAGTCTGCTTTTAGGCCACTACTATACTTCTTTGGTTACTATAGCTTTGTACTACATTTTGAAATCAGGTCATGGGGCTTTGCTCATTTTGCTCAAGATTACTTTGGTTATTTAACATCTTTTGTGGTTCCATATGAATTTTAAGATTTTTTTCTGTTTCTGTGAAGAATGTCATTTGTATTTTGATAGGGATTACATTAAATCTGCATATTCATTTTGTATTACACATTTTGAAAATATTTAATCTATGAACCCCAGATACGTTTCCATTTATTTGTATCTATCTCCATTTCTTTCATATTTGATGCTTTGCCATATAGAGATCTATCCTCTCCTTAGCTAAGTTTATGTCTAGCTTTTTAAATTTTTTGTAACTATTGTAAGTGGAATTGCTTTCTTGATTTCTTTTTTAATGGTCTGCCATTAGCATTAAAAAACACTACTGATTTTTAAAATATTTTTTTTTGGTTGACAAAAATCTAACAATACATTTATGGGGTACAGTGTTACATTTCAATACTTGTATACAATATATGATGATCAATCAGGATAATTGGTATTGCATTATTTCAAATATCATTTGTGTTGGGAAATTTAAAAATCTAATCTACTTGCTATTTTGAACTAGACAATTAATTGTCAACCATAGATATCTTACTGTGCTATAGAACATTAGAAGCTGCACATCTAATCAACTGTACCCTTCTACTTGTTACCCATCTTTCTCCATCCCAGCCCCCACCCTTCCCAGTCTCTGATAAATACTATTCTACTCTCAACTTCTTTTTCAGCTTCCACATATCAGTGAGAATGTGATTATATCCTCCAGCTCCATCCATGCTGCTGCAAAATGACAGAATTTCATACAGTGCTATGGCCATTGCATTTTGCATATACACCAAATTTTCCTTGTTAATTCATTCATCAATAGACAGTTTGTTCCCATATCTTGGCTATTGTGAATGAACACAATAACATGCAAGAGCAGATATCTCTTTGACCTACAGATTTTATTTCATTTAGACATACGCCTAGCAGCAGGATTGCTGGAAAACATAGTATTTACATTTTCACTTTTTTGAGAAAACCTCCCCACCTAAATAAAGGCTGTACCAACATGGATGGGACACTCCCACAACACAGCTTATGAGAGCTCCCCTTTCTTGGCATCCTCACCAGAACTCCATCTTTTTTCTCTTTTCAATATCATCATTCTAATTGAGGTGCAATGATATCTCAATGTGGTTTTGATTCACAGTTCCTTGATTGCTAGTGATATTGAGTATTTTTTCATATACTTGTCACTCATCTGCATATTTCTTTTTAGAAATGTCTATTCGGTTTCTTTTGTCAATTTTTAAATGCTATTATTTGTAGTTTTTGCTGTTGAGGTTCTGTGTGTGTGTGGTCTTCCACTTACTAAGCAGATCCTCTACCAGTTGAGCACCCAACCCTTTTTACTTTAGTTATTTTTCAGGTAAGTTCTCACATCTTGACCCAGTGCCAGCCTCAGACCACAGCACTCCTTCCTACAGTTTTCTTGACAGTTAAAATTATAGATAGGAATCACCATGCCTGGCCTATGTTTTTTGAGGTGCTTGGTTTTGAACTCAAGGCCTACACCTTCAGCCACTCCACCAGACCTTTTTTGTGATGAGTTTTTTTCAAAATAGGGTCTCAGGAACTATTTACCCAGTCTGGCTTTGAACTGTGATCCTCCTGATCTCTGCCTCCTGAGCAGCTAGGATTACAGGTGTGAGCCACTGGCACCCAGCACATCTGGCATATTAAATGAGATGAGATCTTCTTAACTTTTTGCCCAGGCTGGCCTTGAATCACAATCCTCTTGATCACCTCTTCCCAGGTAGCTGGGATTATAGGCAGGAGCCACTATACCCATCCCTTTTCTTGAGCTTTTTAGTACCTTGTGTATTCTAGATATTAATCTCTTTTCAGATGAGGAGTTTGCAAATGCTTTTCCCATTTTGTTGATTGTTTCATGTGTGCAGCCCAATAGTGTTTAATAAAATTTCATTTGTCAGTTTTGGGTTTTGTTGTCTTGATTTGGGGATCATATCCAAAAAAAAAATCTTTGCCTAGTCCAGTGCAGGCACCTGCAATGCTTCCTGTGAGGTAAGGCAGGAACGAATTACCTGCAAAGAGGCCCTGGATGGTGGAGAAGTCACCTGCCCACCTGGAACTCACGTTTTCCAACACAGAAACAATTTGAGCCTAGGGGACTTTTACAAGCATAGGCTGTGCTAATGAGTTGACAGATGCATAGATTTCACACATTGAAACCAATGATAGGAGATTTAACCAATTTTATTTCTTTTTTGGTTTTACAGTCACTTATATACAATTAAAATCAAATCATCAGCTACATGTTTTCTTTTAAAACATCACAAAATTTATATCAAAACTCTCATTTGTGCTTTTAAAAGATAGTTTGTTCATTAGAATGCACTAATCAGTAGGTATATAACTAAGTCATGTGATCCCATTTACATTCATCGGAAAGAATATATCTCACCTTCAGGAGGCCGTCATCATTTTTTCTAGCCTTAATAAACTTTTTTACAAATCCTGACACCAAAGAGAAAAGCAAATAAAAATATTTTAGCAAAGAATCAGATACACTAAATAACTTGTCCAAGAGCACACAGGACAGAACAGGGTAGGATTGATTGCAACTCTTTACCTCCAAAGTGCTTGCCCTTCAATTGTTTTGACACAAAGCACCAGAATTAAAAACATAATTGTAAAACTTTTCAGACAGTATTTTAGGCAGTTTTGTAGTTTTTGGTTAGACCTTTTTAAATTTTTCGAGAAAGTTTTTACTCAGTTGTTCAAATGCTAAAACAACGTTATCATCTTCATTTCCACACAGTTCACGCAAGGAAACGCTGCAAATAGAAACAAATATATATATATGTATTGCCCATTTTTGTGACATCAAGTTTTATAAAAAGGGCTTTCCAAGAGTGACATCATATCATATAAAAAGAGCTTTGCCTGGGTAAGCAGAAATAAATCCCCTAAGATGATGAAATGTTAGTACAACATGAGGAATGATGATAAGAAACATGTTTCTTCAAAAAAAAAAACGCTTGAACAAAAATAGAAATAAGAAAAGATACCCCCATGCAAGAGTGTTTGAAAAGCCACCAAAGTCCATGTAACTTGATCCCTCCTCCCTTCAATAATGCAACATAAATTTCTTTTCTCCACACATCTCTTAGGAAGTCATTTTGTGCTTTTTTTTCCCCCCAGGATATACTGAAACCCACAGACAGCTATTCTTGTGACAAGGAAAATATTCCTGCTTTGGCTAGATGTACATGAAAACAAGAAACATAGGGTATAGAATGATGACCCTTTAAGGTCCTCATACAAATTCCCAGGAACCTATGAACATGTTAGGTTACATGGCAAGGGCAATAACCTCTGCAGATGAAGGTAAAGTTGCTAATGGGCTGACTTGAAGATGAAATCATCCCAGATTGTCTGGATAGGTCTGGATAGGTCTAATGTAACACCAAAGGTGTTTATAGGTAGAAGAGTTAGTGTCAGGTAGTGGAATGTGAGCATTTGATATATAAAGGATCTCAGATCCCTCCACAGACTGTTGCTGGCTTTGGTGATGGAAGGGAGCTAAGGGTCCAGGATGCTGACAACCTCTAAAAGTTGGGAAAGGCCACAAAGTAGGTTGTCCCCTGTAGCCTTCAGAGAGGAATGAAGCCCTGCTGACACTAATTTCAACCAGTGAGGCACATTTTGAACTTTTGACTGCCAAGACTTTAAGATATAAATAATTAGTGGTAATTTGTTTCACCAGCACTAAGAAACTAATGTACAGGTGACAAGGAAGGAGAAAAGAAATAAAAATGAATATGCAGCTTGGCCAATTAAAGACTGAAAACAATTAGGATCTGACATCTTATTATTCATTCATTATCTGTGCCTGCCTGTTTCCACTAGTATTCCAGTGTCTTTTTCCTTAGTGTCTTTACTGATGTATCTCCTGTGAATGATCAGATCTGTATCTGCAACACTGAATTTCTTCTGATTACAAATACATAACTGTGACTCTTAGACATTCCCTCCTGAGTGATGTCCTCCAAATACCCTATGACATGTATGAATTCTACCTTACTAGTCTTATTCTCATCCCAAATAGCACTTCACCTTACATTTCTTGTGTATCATTAACTGAAAAAGAATCCTGGTCATCTTCACCAGAATTTCCTTTCCAATTTCTTTGAATTCTACCTCATGAATATTTCCTTAACTGCTCTCCTGCCTTGTTACTTCTATTTCCTTGAGACCTTCACTCATTCTCACCTGCACCTCAGTTATAGGCTTTAAGACAGTCTTACACATCCCTGACACCTATATAAGCCATAGACCTATGCCACATTTATGCTTATGCAGTGTGCCCAAAATATTACAATGCTCAAAATATTAAACCCAAACTCCATAATGCAACAATTAAGACCCTGCCTGATATAGATCCAAATTTTCCATAATATCAATTAAGGCAACTCAGCATCTTCTCCCATCTTTATCACAATTCCCATATTTTACATGTCACCATAGTAAGCTTGAATGTTCCAAGCACAACAACCCACTTCTCATTTCTGTACATTGATGGTATTATGTACATTATTTCCTCTTCCCCATGATTTCAGACTTAGTGCAAAACAATTACTTCACTTGAGAGCCCTTTTCTGAACCCAAGTAGAGTTATCTGTCATTATAATACTTACTGTGTTTAAAATGTCTACATGTCTATTTATGCCACTACATTGCAAGTTTCTTTGTTAACAGCAGGAATAGATTTAATGATTCTCTATATCTCAAATGTTTAAATGTATCTCAAACCAATAATACTTCTATACTTGTTATATGAATTCATGAATGGATGATTTTCCTAAGCCTGATCTTGGACACAGCTCCAAAGTCTATGAAGTTTGTTTGGCTGCCATGAAGACTATAACTTGGGTTAACTATGAGCCACTCAAGGAATACCCTACTCATGTGGACATAGCTGTTCACTTCTGTTCTAGCATCGCCAAATCTTCATCCTATAAAAAGTTCACATAGGCCTGATTCAGCTCAGATCAAGGAAATATAAACAATGATCTGATTAGCAGAACCCCATAGTAAAGGCAATTGTGTCAAATTAAATATACATAAGGAAATGATAGAACAAAAGAACACCTGTAAAGTATTGAAGCACATGCAGATTGGAGGCATTAGGGAGATGGTCATTTAGCTAAGCAACATTAGATGGCCAGTGGAGCCTAAGCATGGGATATCCATGTAAGGTTTGATATTGTTTGGGTCCCAAGTGAGCTCTGATAAAGGTGAAAACAAGTAACCTCTATGAGAGATCAGAGCAAGATGAAGCCTTGAGGAAACACTAGTTAAAGCAAGAAATTCAGGAGTATGCAAGTAGACATAAAATAGAGACCTGATGGAGCCCCAGGGGCCTTTGAGGTTTCTGACACACACTGCTGTGACAATTGAAAATGTGAGTGTCCAGGGTCCAGGAGCCATTGGAATATCACTGCCTGTTGGTGCACAGTGCTTTGGGATGAGACTCAATTCTGGAAGAACTTAATCTCAAATGGACTAGAATTAATTCCACTATAGAAAACAGGCAACAAGGTATTGAGGAGTTCTGCAGACCCTTTAGGAAACTAAAATGTACAGCCTGGAAGTATCTCAATGGCACCTTCAGTATCTGGCTCAGAGAAAGAGTTCAACAATTTTCAAATAATAATTAAATTATTGAAAAACAGAAATAAAATCAATACTTAAATACATAACATACCTGATTGATTTAATGGTGAGTGCAAAGTCTTTCAACAACTGGTAAGCTGCCCCTTCATGTATCCTAAAGACAAAAAAAATGGAAATTACTGCTGCAAAACCATTATTTACTAATGTAACAGCTATTTTATTCACAATAATAAGTCAGGTTTACAAAACAAAAATGCCCTGGCAGGAGTAGTTGTTCACAACTATAATCCCAGCACTTGAGAGGCTGAGGCAAGAAAATGGTGAGTTTGAAGCCAGCAGGGCTACATAGTAAAACCCTGTCTCAAAACAAAACAACAAACAATAAAAATCATATTAAAATCCCACAAATTCTCCACATTTCTGAAGAGCATCAAATTTTAAATACCTTAATGTAATACAAATTATTCACATTTTGATGTAAAAAGCCTGTTGAATTCCTGCCTTGGCAGGTCTATCTCCACATCTATGTGCTCAGCATCTGGGCTAATCTCTCCCTTCCCAGGTAAATCCAGCAGTGTTACCCCTGCTTGCTACTTTTGAAAATGGCTTCCCTGCCAAAAAACTAAAGCAATGGTCATGTCATCAGACCTCAAATGTGGGAATTACACACATTACATATTCTCCTCTCAGATATTAGACAGCATGGGATTGTTATTTGTCATTTAGTTTGAAAATATCCAATAATGAATAAATAGGATAACAATAAATAATAGTCTATCTGTGAAATTCACAAATATTTATATATTTAGAGGATAGCTTCATGTCAAGTGATCTAAATGTCAAGATTTTGCTAGATTTTTGACAAAATTTGTCATTGTCTGCTTCATTAGTACATAAGAAGATATCAAATGTTTAGCATGATCAACCCATACTTGAAAGTGTAAGGTGGATTTTTTCTCTAAAATTCCTTAAATTCACTTTTTAGATGAAATGGGGGAGGGAAAGAGAGAAGGGGAGGAAGGGAAAGAGAGAGAGAGAGAGAACACATACCTGTTGTCCTGGGTTAATCCTACCAAGGAACCATGTTTGTAGAAGTCAAGTGCATAAGCATTAAGTGGCATTATTCTTCCTTGACTATCAAAGCTTTGTGGCCACAATACAGGGGCTTGAGTGTGATTGATACCAATTGTGCGCAGAATGGCCTGAAGAAATACAATTTGTAACTTGTTATTTATGTGGAAACAAAGTTTATGATTCCTTATATTGCATCTTATTACCATTGTAACTTCCTTTAATCAGTGCTTCTCTAGCACACTCTTCATGGTAAAAGAAGAGGTGTTTTTCACATGCACTGTGTCATTGCCACCCCTTGCCAGCCCAGAGAACACCTTAGCTCCATGAAAGTTATTGCTTCCACAGCATACTCATGGCGAGTATTAGCATCTGACCACTGGGAAACAGCAAGAATGTCTAGGAAAGAAAATCTAATATAAGATTTTAACCCTCTTCTTATCAGTGCAGAGTGCCTTTGCAAACAAAGTATGAGGAAGTTGATGGGTTGCATAGCAGAAGGTAAAACAACTCCAATAATCTTTAGAACCCAAATCCCAGAATAGAAAAGGGGTACGAAGCTGGATGACTCAATCCTATAATCCTAGTTGCTTAGGAGGTTGAGATCTAGAGGATCGCTGTTCAAGGCCAGTTAGATCCCAACATCAATCAATGGCTGGGTGTGGTGATACGTTCTGTCATCCCAGCTACACAGGGAAGCACAAAAAGGAGGGTCACTGTCCAGACCAGCCTGGGCATAATTTGAGAACCTATCTCAAAAATAACCAGAGCAAATTTAGGGGGAAGAGGGAAAGAACGAGAGAAAAAGAGAGGATAATAAAAAGGAGAAATCAAATAGGACACTTTTCTATGTCTGTTCATCTTTGCAAACTTCTTTATAGGGTCAATAGGAAGTCTAGTATACTACAAGTGGACTATACATCAGTCCAATTACTCTTTAAAGTGAGTTAGTAGTAGCTTGTAAAGTTGAGTGTTTGAATTTTTATTCTTTTATGATCCAGAATATCCTTTTAATACAGAAAATCTATACTGAAGAGAAATTTGCACATGTGCATCAGATAGTCATAGCAACCCTATCAAAAAAGTAAAACTTGGAAACAGATCAGTCATTAATAAAAGACAGAGAAACAGATTGTTTCACACTAAGAAATATTGTAAAGTAGTAAAAATAAAATAGAAATTCATATCCCAGTATAAATGAATCTTATAGGCATAACATTGAATTCAAAACTTTAAAAAGCTACAGAGAAGAGACTTCAGGTAGGTGTATTTTCACCTTCACAAAATTGAAAAGCAAGCAAAAGTAAAAAGCGATTTTGTAATATTATTTTTTTAAACAAACGAAGAACAAGGAGGAGATCCAAGATGGCAACTGGGACACAGTGGCAAATCATGTGAGCTCCGTCAACCAGGGACTTTGCTGAGATGCTGGAGACACTATTGGCTGAGGAAAAGCACCAGGGAGAACTGAAACATCAGCACTCTGAACCCTTAGCTCATGGAAGGCTTATCCATGCCATGACTTACTAAAAGAACAGCCAGTGCTGCATACCAAGCCCCGCCCCATAGGCCCACAGAGCCACTGCTCCTCCAGCTGTGGGATCTCCAATCCTTGGGCCCACTCTTCAGCCCCACAAGGGCTGAGCTTCCCCAAACTCCCACCCCCCAAGACCCACAGACTCTCCACCAGACCACGCCCCTAAGGCTGCCAAGCCAGTGATCCACAGGCAGTCACAATCTCTGCTCTCCTGGTCCTACACCCCTAAGATCTGCACAGGCCTGCACGATCTCCGCTCCTCCTGCCCACGCTCCTAAGGCCTGTCAAACAGGCGATCCACAGGCATGCACGATCTCTGCTCCACCGGGCCCTCACCCTTCAGGCATGCCAGGCCCACACTCTAAAGGCCTGCTAGATCACCTCAATAACAGGCCTCCACCCACAGGCCCATGGGACCGCATCCAACCTTCCACTTGCCACAGGAGGGCTCTAAACCTGCCTAGGAGACACAGACAGGTCTAGATGCTAAAGGAGTAACAGCAGAACTACTAAGACTGAAATTCCACTATTCCTGAACCAGTGATTTTTTTGTTGGTTTGTTTGTTTGTTTTTGCCCTCCTTTAAAGGTTTGGCTGTCTGGTTTGCTCTTTGATCGTCCACCATCTCTCCCTGCTGTTTTCCTTGGTACTCTCTTTTTTTATTTTTTCTTTTTTGTTTCCTTCTACTTCTCTTTCTTTCTCTATATTCTCCTTCTTCCTTGATTTTGTTAATTTCACTATTGGAACTCAGTAAACACTAAATTACACATAGTCCAGGGACAGAAATGGTACCAAGTGGAAATATGGGAAGACAAAAAAGGGAAGGAAACCATTCTCCCCCCAAAAATAAATTAGTAGAGGATTCAGAGCAAAATGAAGAAAACAGATACCCAGACACAGACTCAAGCAAAACAAAGATGAACAATGCCAAAGAACCCAAAAAAGCCCACAAGAACACTCTAAAAGAAGAAACCCTGCAAGTAATTACTGAGAATTTCATGGAGTTGTTATGAGACATAGTCAACCAAAACGTACGGGAGGCACTCAAGAAATTCCAAGAGGACAAAAATAAAGAATATGAGAAAATACACAAAAAAATAAATACATGAAATCATAGGTGCCTTAAATAAAAACCAAAATGAAACAGAAAATACCATAAATGGAGAGATAAATGAATTAAGGATGAAAATTGACAACACTAAAGAGGAAGTGACCCATGACATGGTAAATCTCAGAAAAAAGAATGAAAAACAGAAAAACAAAACAACATGGAAGGCCATTCCAGCAGAATAGAACAAACAGAAGACAGAATCTCAGAACTTGAAGATGAAATGATAATTAAAGGAAAAACCAAAGAAATATTAGTCAAACAACTCAAGACCTGTGAAAGGAATATGCAAGAACTCACTGACTTCATCAAAAGACCAAACTTGAGAATCATGAGCATTGAAGAAGAGAAGAAGTGCAAGCAAAAGGAATGCGTAATATATTCAGCAAAATAATTAACAGAAAATTTCGCAAATCTAGAGAAAACTATGCCCATCCAGATATAGGAAGCCTCCAGAACACCAAACAGACTTGACCAAAATAGAACTAACCCACAACATATTATTATTAAAACAACAAGCACAGAGACGAGAAAGAATATTGAAGGCTGTAAGAGAGAAAAAAACAAATAACATACAAAGGTAAACCCATCAAAATCACAGAAGATTTCTCCATGGAAACCTTAAAGGCAAGAAGGGCATGGAGTGAAGTATTCCGGGCACTAAATGAAAATAATTTCAACCCTAGGATATTCTACCCAGCAAAACTGTCATTCAAAATAGATGGAGCAATAAAAGTCTTCCATGATAAGCAGAAACTAAAACAATATGTGACCACAAAGCCACCACTACAAAAGATTCTCCAAGTAATTCTGCACACAGAAAGTGAAAGCAAATAAAACCATGAAAGGACAGGCAACACCAAACCACAGAAGAAGAAAAGGCAAGAAAGTAGGGAGTAACACTGATTCAGCTACACACAATCAAACCCTTAAACAACAAAGACAACTAAATGACAGGGATCACCACATACTTATCAATACTAACACTGAATGTTAACAGACTAGACTCCCCCATCAAAAAACACCATTTGGCAAACTGGATTAAAAAGGAAGATCCAACAATCTGTTGTTTACAAGAGACCCACCTATCGACAGAAACAAGCACTGGCTGAGAGTGAAAGGCTGGGAAAAGATCTACCAAGCCAATGGCCCCCATAAATAGGCAAGGATAGAAATAGTTACCTCAGATAAAATAGACTTCAAACTTACATTGATCCAACTAGATAAAGGACACTCTATACTAATTAAAGGGGAAATACACCAAAAGGAAATAACAATTATCAACCTATATGCATCCAACATCAAAACACCCCAATTTCATCAAATTCCAACACAGTGATAGTGGGAGACCTTAATACCCCCTTATCACCAATATATAGGTCATCTAAATAAAAAAAAATCAATGAAGAAATTCTAGAACTAAATCTCACCATAGACCAAATGTACCTAACTGACATCTACAGAATATTTCACCCAACTGCTGCACAATATACATTCTTCTCAACAGCTTATGGAACCTTCTCCAAAACTGATCACATCTTAGGGCATAAAGCAAGTCTCAGCAAATATAAGAAAACAGAAATAATCTCATGCATTCTATCTGACCACAATGCATTAAAACTAGAAATCAACAACAAAAACAGCATTAAAAAACATGCAAACAACTGGAAGCTGAACAATACATTGCTCAATGATCAATGGGTCATTGATGAAATAAAAGAGGAAATTAAAAGGTTCTTGGAAGTTAGTGAAAATGAAAACATGACCTACCAGAACCTATGGGACATAGTAAAGGCTGCCCTAAGAGGAAAGTTTATAGTCATGAGTGCATATATTAAAAGGTCAGAAAGATCTCAAATCAATGATCTAACACTACAGCTCAAACTCCTAGAAAAACAAGAACAAGCAAACCCAAAACAAACAGAAGGAGAGAAATAATTAAAATAAGGGTGGAAATCAACAAAATAGAAAACAAAAAAAAACCATACAAAGAAACAATGAAACAAAAAGCTGGTTCTTTGAAAAAAATAAATAATATTGACAGACCCCTGGCAAACCTGACTAAAATGAGAAAAGAAAAAACTCCAATCAGAAATGCAAAAGGGGAGATAGCAACACCACATAAATCCAGGAAATCATCAGAGACTTTGAGAGCCTATACTCTAATAAATTTGAAAATTTTGAAGAAATGGACAGATTTCTAGATACTTATGACCATCTAAAACTGAAACAAGAGGATATTAATCACCTGAATAGATCTAAAAACAAAATGAAATTGAAGCAGCAATTAAAAGTCTCCCAAAAAAGAAAAGTCCAGGACCTGATGGATTCTCTGCTAAATTCTATCACATGTTTAAAGAAGAACTAATACCAACCCTCCTTAAACTGTTCCATGAAACAGAAAGGGAAGGAACACTGCCTAACTTGTTTTATGAAGCCAATATTACTCTCATACCAAAACCAGACAAAGATACCTCCAAAAGGAGAACTATAGGGCAATTTCTTTAATGAATATCAATGCAAAAATCCTCAATAAGATAATGGCAAACTGAATCTGACAACACATCAGAAAGATCATTCACCACAACCAAGTCAGCTTCATCCCTGGGATGAAGGAGTGGTTCAACATATGAAAATCAATAAATGTAACACAGCACATTAATAGAAGCAAGGACAAAAACCACTTGATCATCTCAATAAATGCAGAAAAAGCCTTTAATAAAATCCAACACTACTTCATGTAAAACTATAAGAAAACTAGGAATAGAAAGAATGTATCTCAGCATTGTAAAGCCTATATGTGACAAATCTACAGCCAACATCATAATTAACAGTGAAAAACTGAAACTGTTTCCCCTAAAATCAGGACAAGGGTGACCACTATCCCCACTCTTATTCAACATAGTACTGGAATTTCTAGCCAGAGCAATTAGGCAAGAAGAAGAAATAAAAGGAATACAAATAAGTAAATAATCTATAAAAATATCCCTGTTTGCAGATGATATGATCCTATACCTTAAAGACCCAAAAAACTTTATCCAAAAACTCTTAGACACCATAAATAGGTATAGCAAGGTGGCAGGATACAAAATCAACTAACAAAAATCAATAGCTTTTCTATATACCAACAATAAACAAACTGAGAAGAAATACATGGAAACAATTCCATTTACAATAGCCAAAAAAAGAAAATCAAATACGTAGGAGTAAACTTAACAAAAGATGTGAATGACCTCTACAAGGAGAATTACAAACCCCTGAAGAAAGAGATCAAGGAAGACTACAGAAGATGGAAAGATCTCCCATGCTCATGGGTTGGAAGAATCAACATAGTAAAAATGGCTATACTACCAAAAGCAATCTACATGTTTAGGTGCAATTCCCATCAAAATCCCAATGACATTCATCAGAGAGATCAAAAAATCTACCCTAAAATTCCTTTGGAAACACAACAGTCCACAAATAGCCAAGGCAATATTCAACAAAAAGAGCAATGCTAGAGGTATCACAATACCTGACATCAAACTATATTACAAAGCAAAAGCAATAAAAAACAGCATGGTACTGGCACAAAAACAGACATGAAGACCAGTGGAACAGAATAGAGGACCCAGATATGAATTTCACACAGCTATACCCACCTTATTTTTGACAAAGGTGCCAAAAATATACAATGGAGAAAAGACAGCCTCTTCAACAAATGCTACTGGGAAAAGTGGTTATCCATCTGCAACAAACTAAAACTAGACCCATGTCTATCACCCTGTACTAGTATCAACTCAACATGGATCAAAGACCCTAATATCAGACCCAAAACTCTGAAGTTAGTACAAGAAGGAGCAGGAAACACTCTGGAACTAATAGGTATAGGCAAGGACTTCCTCAACAGAACCCCAGCAACCCAGCAACTAAGAGAAAGAATGGACAAATGGGACTTCATAAAATTAAAAAGCTTCTGCACAACAAAAGAAATGGTCTCTAAACTGAAGAGAACACCCACAGAGTGGGAGAAAATATTTGCAAGCTATACATCAGACAAAGGACTGACAACTAGAATATACAGGGAACTTAAGAAACTAAACTCTCCCCAAATCAATGAATCAATTAAGAAATGGGCAACTGAACTAAATAGAACTTTCTCAAAAGAAGAAATTCAAATGGCCAAAAAAAAAACATGAAAAAATGCTCACCATCTCTAGCCAAAAAGGAAATGCAAATCAAAACCACACTAAGATTCCACCTCACTCCTGTTAGAATAGTCACCATCAAAAACACCATCAACAACATGTGTTGGCGAAGATGTGAGGAAAAAGGAACCCTCGTACACTGCTGGTGAGAATGCATGCTAGTGCAACCTTCCTGGAAAAAAATATGGAAGCTTCTTAAAAATCTAAACATAGATCTGCCATATGATCCAGCAATCCCACTCCTGGGGATATACCCAAAGGAATGCAACACAGGTTACTACAAAAGCACCTGCACACCCATGTTTATTGCAGCATTATTCACAATAGCCAAGTTATGGAAACAACCAAGATGCCCCACTACTGATGAATGGATCAAGTATATGTGGTATTTATACACAATGGAATTTTACTCAGCCATGAAGAAGAATGAAATCTTATCATTTGCAATAAATGGATGGAACTGGAGAACATCATTCTGAGTGAGGTTAGCCAGGCCCAGAAGAGCAAAAATCGTATGTTCTCCCTCATATGTGGTCTTTAGATCTAAGGCAAATACAGCAATGTTGTGGGACTTGGGTTACATGACAAGGGGAGAACATATAGGGGAGGTACGGGATTAGATAAAAAACCCAAAACATGAAAGCATTTGATGTCCCCACTCAAGATGAATCAATACAGAAACCATAAAGTGACAGAAGTCAACATGAGAAGAGGATCAGGAACCAGTGGAAAGATCAGTTAGAGATGAATCAACCTGGGTTGTAACACATTTGTACATGAGAGCAATGCTAGGAATCTCTCTGTATGGCTGTCCTTATCTCAATTAGCAAATTGTTATGTCTTTCTCATTATTGCTTACTTCTAATCTTCAACAGAACTGGAGAAAAGCACAGAACAGGTTCTGCCTGGATGGGAGGGGGGAGAGGGGGAGAAGGTTAGGGTGGGGGCAGGAGGGAGAAATGACCCAAACAATGTATGCACATGTGAATAAGTGAATAATAAAAAAAATTTAAAAAAAAAGAAGAACAAAAACCAAGGTTTAGGAAACATTGGGAAGGGGAAAGAAGGGAGACAAGGAAATGAAACAGGAACGCAGCACACAGGATCTCAGTGTGTTTGCTAAAGTTTTGTGTTTCATAGGTCATCTACATACTATTTAAATAAATGTATACATGCATATCAAGTAGGGCATTTAACTGTAATAAATAATAAAACAAGGGAAATTTGAAGAGATTATAACTTACACTAGTAAAGTAAATTTGTAGAAATTGAGTTGGGTAAAGCAATGCATATGTTACCATTAAGCAACCCTCTGAGACTATTCATCTCTACAAGATGCCCCAACATAGATGAAGCAGAAGTAGCCCACTTTGTCTAGATCCCCATCAGCAACAACTGTGAGTCTGAATGAGTTCCTACCCTGTGCTTTAATGATCATTTCTAATTGATGGTGATCGTGTGACAATAAGACAAATATTCTATTCCATTCTAACCGTCTGAGAGCCTCTCCAAAAACACATGGGGAAATTTCCATATGGAAAGGAAAAAAAGCAAATGGCATATACATTCCATAAATTAAATTAATTGCATAATTAATAGGGAAATTATAATGTTTAACAATTAATGCGTCTTTTTCCAACATTGTTAGGTGCAAATCTTTTTGTAGCCAATTAGTCATTTGTAATCATCCATGTAAAACACGAGGAACAAAATTTTCTAAAATCATTGCTCTTCTAGGCTCAAGTATAAATCTTTATAATATGTATACCAGAATTCTCCATTCTTCAAAAGCACTCTATCATAACACACCATCCAACTGAGGTGAAGTTTCTACAGAAATTTATGAATAAACCACATTCTTCACTTACATGATTTGGAATTTTTGGGTGAAGCAAGTTACTATCAAAGTTTCCAGAGAGACAAACAAATGGTGAAATTGCTACTCTTCCTTCCGTGCAGTTCATCAAGTGAGACACCAGGGGGGAGTCTATACATTCTTTTCCTGTGAATTCTGACCACAATAAATTGGGATAAATTAGTTTTTGAAAACCAGCTAAATCATCAAGCCTCGTGTTCTTGCTTTAAACCATACTACAAGGTGACTACAGTGACTATATCACAATGAACTTACATAAAGTTAGTAGCAAAGTTTGGAACAGGATACGTTAATAAATGTTAGTTATTAACACTGGTACCACTATATTTTATTTTACTTGCTTAAAAAACTGAACTTAAATGGTATATTCTTTTCATAGAAAATTATTGTTACGTTGATACTTCTCCCTTGTGAACTCAGACTTGGCCCTAGGAGCAGCCATTATTAAGCAGTTTGGAAATGTCATATGAGAAGACACGAGTTTTCTAGTCACTCTCTTATAAAAATCAAGATTGTACAGTGAACTGGCTCCCCTCTCACTCCTGCAGTGAGGTCACAGTGCTCTGCTCTCACTGCCTACTTGTGCCCATGCTGTTCCAACTTTTATGAAAGAAGGGTCCGGGAAGCTGCACACTGCACACATCCTTAAATTTTTCCAATTGAGAATGTTAGGGTACAGTAAACCAGGATATTGCTCCCCAAAGCTGAAAGCTTTCCTTTCATCTCAGTCACCTTTTCCTGTTTATTTTCTCCTAGACTTCCATCTACAAGTCATAAAAAAAGAAAAATAGGAGCAAACACTAATAATGTGGAGTTATGTGTAGAGTTCTATTTTAAGGTATTCACATGCATTAATTCTTTAATGCTCACCGAAACTAAGTTACAGTGTCCTCTTTCTCATATGTCTGTTGAGAAAATGAAGGCATGATTCTGGGCTCACTTGCCCAAGAACTCACTGCTACAAAGGAGCAGAGCCAGGGTTTGGACCCAGGGGTTCCCTACGCTCATGAACACTGAGGATGTCTCCTCCCAAGAAAAAGAGTGACAGAGTAGACTCAGAATTAGTTTTGCTTCAGCTCACAGATGTCCTCAGTCCATTTTCCAGGCTTCACTCAAAGGCAGCCTTTAATCAAAATAGTTTATAAATGACTCTATTTAGTTTCCTTCTCCATTGCCCATTTAACTGCCAATAATCATTTTTTTCTTTGGAAAGCAAAAGGAATTCTTTTATTGTAAGATAAGCTGAACTTTGAGGGCTCCAGTCTTCTTCTGAAATAAAATATGTACATCCTCTTTTCTTTCCTTTTTTTTTTTTTTTTTCTTTTCCTTATTGGCAATGCTGGGGATTGAGCCCAGGACTTCAGGCATGATAGACAAGCACTGTACCACTAAGCTGCATCCCCACCAATCAGACAAAATATTGTTAAGCAAAGCTATGTATTCTTACATTGTTCCACAATAAAGCTATAGTATACTAACCGATTTTTGACAGAGGAAGCTGACATTCCTGTTTCATATCAGCCAATTTGGACACGATTAGTAGAAAAGCAGCAAAGTCTTTTGTAATTTGCATGTTATACTCCTGCAAGGCAGCCAAGAAATCCTTGGGAAGCTCATCAAGGAACACCTAGAAGCAAAATGGTGTTTTTTATGGAGAGCTGGATGCCCTCCTTTAAAACTGACATTTTGGAAGCAAGAAGGGCAAAGTTCCTTGCAGTATAACTCTTTAGTTATCTATCACTCATGAAACTGAGGTAAAATTCATTTTTGTTTTGATTTGCATTTATAAAACAAATATACTACTCATAAAATTTTCTTTGGCACTATTTAATCAAAAGCTACTTTTTAAATAGAAGCATGCCCTCAAATGACATTAGGCTAGTGACACATTTGGAGAGAAAGCAACAGGTATGTTTCGAAGGTTTTAAAACATCACTGGATTCATTGTGGTAATATTTTTGTTAATTACTTTTCCATCTATATTTGTGAGACAGATGTAGCTCTAATTTCATTTTTGTAACATCCTTGTCAAGTTTTGGTATTAACAAATACCAACTTTTGGTCCTAGAAAGACTAACTGTTTCCCCTTTTTTGTATCCTCCAGAAAAGTGCTGTAGACTGAATGTATTCTTCCCCCCAATTTATAAGTCAAAATTCTAACTCGCAATGAGATGGCATTAAGTGGTGGGGCTTTTCAACTGAGGCCAATAGGAAAAGGGGACCAGGAACTAGAGAAAAGGTTAGATCAAAAAGAATTAACCTAGAAGGTAACACCCACGCACAGGAAATCAATGTGAGTCAATGCCCTGTATAGCTATCCTTATCTCAACCAGCAAAAACCCTTGTTCCTTCCTATTATTGCTTATACTCTCTCTACAACAAAATTAGAGATAAGGGCAAAATAGTTTCTGCTGGGTATTGAGGGGGTGGGGGGAGCGGGAGGGGGTGGAGTGGGTGGTAAGGGAGGGGGTGGGGGCAGGGGGGAGAAATGACCCAAGCCTTGTATGCACATATGAATAATAAAAGAAAAATGAAAAAAAAAATTAGAGAGAAGGGCAAAATAGTTTCTGCTTGGGTATTGAGGGGGGGAGCAGGAGGGGGCGAAGTGGGTGGTAAGGGAGGGGGCGGGGGCAGGGGGGAGAAATGAACCAAGCCTTGTATGCACATATGAATGAATAATAAAAGAAAAATGAAAAAAAAAAGTGGTGGGGCTTTTGAGAGTAGATTAGGCCATGATAGTAAAGGCCTTATGAAAGGATTAGTGCCTTGTAACAGAGACACCCCTGAGTCCTTTGCCCCTTGCTCCATGTGAGGAGGCAGCATAAAGGCAGCCATCTATGAACTAGAATGCATGCTCCCACATGACACCTGGATTTAGGACTTCCTAGAGCAGTTCTTCCCTCCAGAACTGTATCCTACACAGACTAAGATGAGGATTTGTGAAAAGTTGGTATTATTTGCTTTTGTTTGTTAGTTTTGTTTTATATGAGTCAAACCCAGGTTATCAACTTCCCAAGGCTGTGCAGTTTTTTTTCCCAGAATTTTTATTGAAGCATAATTGACAAAAATTATACTGTTGAAGGTGTATAACCCTATGTCTTGATACACACACATGTTGATATAATTCTTTAAATATTTGAAAGAATTCCCCAGGGAAGTCCTAGGAGACTTAGAGTTGTTTTCTTGTGAGAAAGTTTGTTTGTTGTTTATTTGATTACCAGATTAAATTTCTCTATATAGAAGATTTTTTATATCTCTTATTTGGTTGGTCAGTTTCAGAAAGTTGCATTTTCTAGGAACTTGCCCATTTTTCCAAATAAATTTATTAGTATATTGGCATTCAGAATATCCTCTTTTGCTATTTTTGATGTCTAGAATAGTAACTGAAGTAATGTCCAATTTTCTTTAATGATATTTGTGCTTTTTTTTTTTTTTTACCTTTATTCTTTTTGCTTGTTTGTTTGGCAGGACAGGGTTGTGAACTCAGGGCTTCAAACTTGCTAGATAGATGCTCTACGATTTGAGCCATACCCCCAACCCTTTTTGCTTTAGCTATTTTTCAGGAAAAATAGCTGAGTTTTCCCTCATTGCCCTGGAGGGCAAGCCCCCTGCCTATGCTTCCTGCCTAACTGCGATGACAGATATGACATGTACCACCATGCCCAGCTTTTTTGTTGAAATGGGATTTCAGTAACTTTTTGCCCCCAGCTGGCCTCCAACTGCAATACTTCTGAGTTCTGCCTCCCAAGTAGCTGGGATTACAGGCATGAGCCATTATGTCTGCTCTCTACCTTTATTCTTAATGACAGTTGCTAGGTATTAACCAATTTTATTATTCTTTATAAAGACCCAATGTAGACAATTTATTTGTATTCTCACTTTGCTATATCTTTCCTTCTATTTCTATTAGGTTATATTTTCTGAGGTTTTTTTCTAGATTTTTAACAATCTTTTTTTTTTAATATATATTTTTAAGGCTATATATTTCCCTTTAAGAATTGCATGAATTACAGTTTATGAGTACTTACATGTTTCATTCATTATTGAATTTCAAATATTTTGTTTCCATTTTCTTTTTGTCCTATGTGTATTAGAAATTAATTTTCAGTCCAGTGAAGTATTTCTGGTTAATTTCTATCTGACATATTTTCCCATTATTCTATTTTCAATCATTCTGAGATTTTATAGCTAAGATGCAATTTGTATAAAATGGATATAGTTGTATTTTAAAATGCAACCTGAAAAAGTCCTAGTATTTTACTTGGTGTATTTAATATGTTTATATTTAATGTATTCACCTACATAAATACATTTTCTACTTTATGACTTGTTTTCCAATTGGACCATCTGCTTTGCATCCTTTCTTCTCTTTCCTTAGATTTTTAATTCAGTTTTTTCCTTTTATTATTCTTTCTACTGTACCTCATTACCTCCTTTATTTTTATCTTTCCAACTTTTGGGTTTTTCCATCTGCCTGAAGATGATATTTGAAATCATAAACATAATATTTTTTTACTGAAGACCTGATAGCAGTGAGTAACGTCAGATTTCATATCTGCACATTGTAATTTCATCTTTATTTTGAAGAATTTTTCACCAAGTACAGAATTCAGGGTTATGAATAATTTTATTCAGCATGTTAAAAATACTATTCTATTGTAGCTTCCATTATTTTTGGTAAAAGTCAGGTGTCATTCTAGTCAGGTGAGGGAAGTTTATCACTTTACATCCACCAGAGCTGATTTATGATGTTCTCTTTGTGGTTTACAGCAGTTTGAGTTTTTCTCTATATTTATCCTTCTTGGACTTTTGAAACTTTTTGGTCTTTTGAAACTGTAGATTTCTGTCTTTCATCAGCTTTCAAAATTCCCAGCTATTAGCTTTTGAATACATTTCTGCCATGTTTCTCCCTCCTATTCTTCTAAGACACTAATTATATATACATTAAACCATTTGAGTGTAGTCTACATGTCTTTTATGCTATCTGGTTTTATTTTAATTTTTTTCTTTATGTATTACAGTTGGGATGCTTTCTATGGAGTTGTCAATCTATTGATCCTGACTCTGCTTCATATATTCTGAAAGTCAGTATTATATTTTTCTGTTTTAGAATGTCTATCAAATAATTATTTTATACATTTCAATTATCTAGCAAAATAACTCCATCCTTTTATCAATTTTTTCCATGTTTTTCTCTATCAGCTGAACATGTTAGTCCTTTTATTGTTAGTGGGGCACAGTGCCTCACTCCTGTAGTCCTAGCCACTCAGAGGTGAAGATGGGAAGGCTCATGGTTCAAGATAACCTTGACAAAAAGTTCACTATACCCCACTCTTAACCAAAGCTGGACACAGTGGTACACGTATGTAATCTCAGCTATGCAGTAACCATAAATAGGAGGATCATTGTGCAGGCTAGCCTGGGCCAAAATTGAAACCCTATTCCAAAAATGACGAAAGCAAAACAGGCTTGTGGCATCTCTAAAGCAAAACAGGCTGTGGCATGGCTCAAATGGTAGAGTACCTGCCTTGCAAATACAAATCATTGAGTTCAAATCCCAGTATGGATGGGCCAAAAAAAAAAAAGTCCTTGTGTTTTAACTCCAATACCTCTATTATCTGTGGGTCTTCTACTATCGCCTGCTTCTCTTCCTGTTTATTGGGTATGTGTCCTTGCTTACTCACTGTTTTAGGATTTTTGTTTTGTTTTCACACCAGAAATTGTTTCTAAAAGGACCTACTGACTTCAGGTGTTATCTCTCACCAGAGTGAGTGAAAACCAAGTTTGTGTTAGCCAAGAGAATACAGGTCCGATCATTTCCATCCAAGTAGACTAAAGTGAACTGTCATTGTTTTATAGTTTAGAAAGACTCTGTCTATATTTACTTTGTCTCTGCTCCAAAATCATGGCTTTTTTGGAATTTTGAATATTAAGGTGATGTATCTCTATCTTCTCAGCCCTAAAAGACTGCTGAATATCTAACTCTTTCCTGGAGAGGATTCTAACCTCTACATAAAGACTCAAACCTTTCCCTCTAACAAGATTTATATTTAATGAATGCTATAATGCTTCAGGAATTTTTATCTACCTTTTAAATCCTTTTCATTCAGTACTCCAACATTCATGGGCATTTGTTACTCAAGAAAATTTCTTGTGATAAAAAATTACCACGTTTGTATTCTCACTTTGTAGCCTGCAACTGAAGCTCTAGATGATCACTACAAACTTTGCTGAGCTTTTTTAATTTCACCAGAGAGGCCCTCTACATATAGTTTATCAAATTTTCAACCCATGTGTAGTGTTGATAAATATTCTGAGTCAATATTTATGTTGGAGATTCCTTTCACACCTTGAAAAAGCAAGATGTGCAATCACAGCTCATCTAGTCCTCGTTGCTTTCACAGCTCTCAATGCAGTAGAAGTGACAAACATCTATAATGTATTACCTGGAAGTGAGCCAATTTCCAATAATCTTTAGGAAAAATAGAGACAGAGGTCTACACTCAAAAATTTCTTTTATTATGTTTATTTTATGATGATCTTTTTTTAAGAATAGAGATGCTAACTTTTCTTTAAGTTAAATACAAATTTATTTAAGCAGAACAATTAATATTTCAAGAATGTACATGTGAAGTGTGCAGATAATGGGTCAGTGGCTAAAGCAGTGTCCACGTCTGTGGAACATTCTGTGAATGGATAGATTTCGATTCAACATTGCGGGGTTAAACATCATGGACTAACTTCTCTTTTTGTTCCACAGCACTTTTTCACTGAGGTTATCTAGTGTAAACCAGCCTATCCTACTTTCTCAGATTCTAGCAAGCTATATCAGTAATATTTGATGTTAAGTTGATGGGAGATTATAACTAAGAAAATGTTACCTATAAAATTGGAAAATAGTTTCTATGACTTTGGTCTCTGTGAGTCAATGGATGATTTGTTAGATGACTGTTCTACTGTTTTCTCAGGGGTGGCATTATAGTTCACAGCCTACAGTCTTATTTTAAGGTAAAAAGATCCTAAGGGAACTATAGATTCAAAAATGGCAATGGCTATTTTGGTTAAATGTATAATTATCTACAGTTTTCTTTTGTCTCTTAATGCTATAATTTGATACAATCAAATGAAAAATATGAGTAAAACATTTATCATATTTTTCCTCAAGGGATTTAACCTTTTGATAGATTTATCGAGAGGGGATTTTTAAATGACAGATTAAACATGACAATAATTGCTAAAAGAAAAACTATTCTACAAAACAAATGAATCATCCTATATTAATAAAATCCTACCATTGTTGAATCATTTCTGGCAGAATCTATTAGACATTCTTAATAAACTTTATCAGAATCATACACTTTACCTTTGATTGATAAAACTTGAAGTTAGCCTCTTGGAATCTTGCTGGAAGATGCCTTCTTCCAAAGAGATTTGCCAATACTAACACCAGCTTTTCCATAACATCTTCAGAAAAATGTTTAGAGCCTATACAAAAGAAAGTGTCTTGTTATAAATATGAAGAGGTGTCTGTTTTCCATTGCATTTTATCTCATAGAAACTAAACATCTGAGAGAAATATTGCAACTGAGGAATAACTATATCTGCTGATGGCTTCCATCCTTTTTTTTCACTCTTGTTCCCACCCAAGGTTTGACTCTAGTCACCCCAACTACAAATGACTTCATCCCTTTACCTAGATTTTTACTCACATTAGCCTATCCTAGTGGATGACTACATTTTGTAAAGTTCGTGATAATATTGCTTTCATCTACTCAAAAATTTCTTATATCTCAATGTCTGATTTTTAAAAATACAACTTTCTGAAGTTGGCATTTAAGGCTTTCTAAACTTCAGCCCACAAATAATTTCCCAGTCTTATGTTATCGTCCCTTCCTACCATTGATACTAAGTTATTGTCAACTTGAATGACTTTGCTCTCCATAGCTCATGGGCACTACACTGTAGTGACTAAAAAATTGTGACATTTAATTGCTTGGTCCCGAGAGTCAGATTGCTATATTTGAGTCTTTTTTCTGACTTATTAAAAGTAAAGAGCCATGGCAATTTTTAATTTATCTGTGTTTCGGTGCCCCTCATTTTTGAAATAATGCTAGTCATATTATCTGCCACAAAAAGTTATCAAAGTTTCTGTACTAATGTTTGCAACCACATACACCCATCACCCCCACATCAACAAGTAAACTATACTTCCTATTAAATGAAATTATTTCTTCTCCTACAGAACTTTTGAGCAACAGAATTTTCTGAGTACCTTGTATCACATAACAATGCATTTTTAGAGCATAGTGGCTAGCACTATTGTGCAAAGCAGAGTGTTTTTACCAACTAATGATAAAGTAATCTGTAAAAGGCATTGAATCCACTAGGCATTAGGAAATATAACAACTTTAAGCAAAACTATTAAAGGGTAACATTAATTCCAAGGAAATTATGTAAGGAATTTATTGCTTTATCTTAGAAATCAAAAGGTTTTAATAAGAATGTATGAAATGGACTTAACAAAAATATATAGGCAAAATTTTAATATGTTTAGGGGAAACCAAGATTATAAATTACACGACTAATATAATCCCAGTTACTTAAATATACTATGCAATTATATTCAAATTTTAAAATTCACAAATATTATTAGTGATTATTTGTGGATAATGTAATTATTTATAAATATTTATTTTTAGCATGATGTTTTCTTATGTCCCTTTTCTATAATAAGCATATATTTGATGTAATTTAAAGAAAATATTTTGTAAAATTGTGTTTTATTCAGTATGTTCTGAATCCTGGAGGCAAGGAATCATTGAAGTTGGTACTTTGAAGAAGTTGACATTTTAAAACAGATGTCACAAAATATGGCTGTCTCCATATAGTAGGTACTTATTTCATCTAATTTGAGGATCTAAAATATCTATATCTTAAGTATACTTTATTTATAGAAAAAATATTCTTGGGCAGTGCAGTGGACTGCAGGAATTCCACCACCATCAGTGCAAGTGTGGGCCAAGAACAAAATAATCAGTAATAGAAGACAGGAGGAGACACTATGGAAGAGGATATGTTGGCCTTCCATCTGAAACTGTCAATGTGGTATCTAGTCAAACAAAGACTGTACAAAAATTAGAGGAAAATAACATCACAACTCACTAATCAGGAGCTTTCTCATCAAGTTGGAAGGAATTTGGCTCTGGGGACATTGTGATATGCACAGACATTTCCAAGAAAATAAACAGTTGTCCCTGCACCCTTCTCCCCCAATCTTAAGTGTATTGTTAAAGCTATGGGTGAATGCTGTAGTAAACAGGGAAATTGGGTAGTCAGTGTTAGTTTGTGAAACTTCCTGCAGATCCCCCCGGCACACACACCATGGAAGATGAGTCTTGGGGGGCTGTTGCTGCTGGGCCTGAGCTGCTGGGCTCTGGGTTCCACAACATTTTTCACCCTGGTCACTCAACGCACAGTTCACAGAGATCATGTCTTTTAATTGATACTTTTTTTGATAGCGTTTATATATAACAAAATCCTTATTCCCAACTTAGTAGGACACTATAAAGGAATTACCTAAAGTGATATATTTGTCTCTGATCTTTAACTATTTCTACGTCACTTTAATTTTAGGTAAATGGATTCTTACTACTTTACTACTATCCTCTTCCCTTTTTTCTATTTGGTTTTCAAATTTTATTTAAATGCCAGGGAATTTCCTTGAATAGGAATGATATGATGTTTTTAAATGCAATATTTAAAAACAAACTAAGTTTGCATGCCATATGCACATGTTGATTAAATTTCCATTTTCTTTAGTTAAAAGCTTATATAACTAGCTACAAGTACTCCAGAGCCACTGAGTCTCCCATTCATTGCATGTCACCATGCTAATTCTACACTATTTTCAAGAACTTATGATTGCTGGTTAGTTGGTATCTGGAAAGTTCTTAATTTGCTAATGACATGTACACCTGCTTACTACTACAATGTGAATTACTGAATTTGCCAATGTATGTCAACAATTAAACATTTTTATCCCTCTTTAGAAAAAAACCTATTCCTGAAGTTCTACCTTTCTATAAACCTGTTGCTATTTTTGAATATACATATTATATATGGTATAATATGCATATGTTTTATATATATAACATATATGTGTATATTAAAGCCTCACACTTACCTTTCTTAGTTGGCTGACAAAGATCATGGAAAAGACCTCTTACAAGAAAACTAACAAAAACAAGGTTAGAAGGCTCATGGTAATGCAAGTGTGACACAAGTCCAGCAAATCCCATAGGATTGCATTCTTGGTCTAGATAGCCCTAAAGACGAAAAATAAGATATTAGCTTGACTAAACTCACCACACAATTAATTCATAACATTAATTGTCAGTTTAAAAGGTATTTAATGCCACTATGAGAGACTAAAAACTATTACTTAGCCCAACTTTGATAATTACATCAAGTATATGAAATATTCATCATTGTGATATAATCTTCTGAAGACTACAATTAGTTCAACATGGGAAAAACATCTAGACAGTAGCAAATCTATTTCACAAAAAAACAAAACACAGTTATACCTCTTTCACCAAGAACTGCACAGAAAACAGGAAGTAAAGTTTTAACATCTCCATGATTCTGGGTTGCTTGAAGGACAGCAATGAGTGCTTTAGCACTGACATCACCTAAAAAGAAGAGCACTTTTATCCACACAACGTTAAGCATATGCAATATATTTGTATATTATCCACCTCGATTACACCACACAGATATCAGCAATATGAAAAACTCAGATTTCATGATGCTTTACTGTGTTCTTATATAGCACATCTTTTTTTTTATAACCCGGAGCACATAAAACAGAATTGTCAAAAATGAAGCATATTTCCAAGCAATCTGATAACAAAAGCCATTCCCGTTTAAGAGCTTATAGCACATTAGAAGAAAAAAAAAGTAGAAAGCCAATGGATTAAGTGGGAAGAAGTGAGGAGAAGGAGTCTAGTCTCCATCTCCCTTACTATATGAATATGTTATTTAAGAGCACCAAAAATGGTCTTTCCTACAACCTCTTCTCCCTTGTGTGCATATTTAATCAGAGAAGGAATAGTCAGAAACAGCACAGTAGTAACAGGTGAGGAACTCAGAGTGGTTTGCTATGTCCTTAAAGGTGTTATTGAAGTCTTACTGAGATGGTTCTTTCAACACTATGACAAAATATCCAGGTAAAACAACTTAAAGAAGGAAAGATTTATTTTGCCTTGCAATTTCAGAGGTTTCAGTCTTTGGCCTGTGGTGAGGCAGAACATCACAGCACTGGGACATTGTGGTAAAGCATGCTGCTCGCCTCGTGGTGGCCAGGAAGCAAAGGGAGACAGAAAGGAGCTTGCACTGGCAGGTTTCCTTCTGCTGCTTTTGTTCATTTGGGTCCCCAGCATATTGTATGGTAATATGCACATTCAGAGTGGGTCTCCCTCCCTCCCCCAGCCCTGCCTCACTGGCTCTCTTACATGCCAATCATCTCTAGAAATACTTTCATAGCCCCTCCCAGAAGTGTGCCTTACTAATCCTCTAGGAGTTCCTCAAGCCAATCGAGGCGACATCACAGGTAGTAAGAATCCCGAAACATGGCATATTATAGTTTATAGTGTCAGAAAGATGAGTGGAAATAAAAGATGTTTTTTAGCCTAGGAAAGTTATATAAAATGAAGATCTACTAATACTAATATTTGTACCAAAAAATGATTCATCTAGTCTCAGATATAAAAAGATATTTGAATAAGACTTAGGTGGACAGAGCTCACCAGAAGATATTTCATACATCCTATTGCTTGTCTAACTACCATAGTTACATAGATGTATCTTCATTCAGAAGTGAGAAATTAAAAAACCTACAACAAATTAGTTTTTCATAAGAAAATTGATAATTTTCTTAAAATCATTGTCATGTAACATGTTTATTGAATACCTATACTTGAAAGTAAGGGAAACAAATAAACATGGCATTAGGGTGCTTATATTCTAACAGGAAACATACAAACAATAAATAAAAATGTGATAATTTAGACAGATAGGTATAAAGATAAATGCCTACAACATAGGTAGATAGATATATTTGATGCATTAAAATCAGCATTGAAAGACTGATGAAAGTGAAGGCTTATTGATACAGACTTCTACAAAGAACAAGAGACTCAACTTCAGCCAAGCCAGTGATGGAGGCTGAACCCCAGGCAGTGCCCAGCACAGCACCTTTGCTCTGCCATCCTCTGGGTCATCTGCCTTGGCAGCCAGCAGCATGAGTCGCAGGATCAGTGATACGCTGAAAGGGAACTGTCCCCTCAGCTCAGGAACTTTGGATTTGATGAGTTTTTCAATTTTGACCACTGGGATATCAAAGAAATACACATTTCCCAGCAAGTCTTGACCTCGTCTTCCAGCACGACCAGACATCTGGAAATGGAATAGAATCACAAAGTGAAATTTCTCTCAGTACTTTTCCTATCCTAATATAACTAAGCCTTTTCCATTGTTTTTGAGTAAACTATGCTTATGTCTAACCTTTAATTAACTAAAAGGAATATTAGTTATGTAGAGCTTTGGAAATTTACCATGACTGAGACAGAGTTGTTAAATAAGACATTTATCATTCTTATCTACTTATTTCATGCTATTAATTATACCAGAAATTTGTGTGATGATATATAGAACAACAACAAAAGAATAGACCCTGATTTGAAGTTCACTTAAAGCTGAACTCTGCTATTTCTCCCTCAGCTTTTTCTCCCTCCCCATTTCCTATTCCTCTGATCCCTTTCTGTTCTACCCTCTCTCAGACACAACTGTGTTGAGCTACGCATCACAAAGTAAAGGCTATACACAAATTAAGAAAATGCATGAGTGAGATAAAATTCAGAACTGCTACTTGTAAAAAGCAAGAACAAACTCTTTACACAAATTAAATTAATTCTCATTTATTAAGTGTTTAGAAGTGGTGAGTTCTTTTTTTTTTTTATCCAGAATTCACAACAATATATGAAGTATACATAGTTACCATCCCCATTGTTCTGTGTGGAAATTGGGGCATGAGAACCATAAGACAATGGCACATAGTCAAACAGCCAGAGTGGGAGATCTGAGACTCAAATCCTGGCATTTCAATTTATGAGTCCATCAACCCAAATATACTAACACTCTGGATCAAAAGCCCTAAAGTAAGATTCCCAAAGACAAGAAGAGTTCCTGTATAATATAGCAGCAGGAAGAAATGAAAAAGACTGGGAGCATTGAATTGGCAGAGAATTATCACAATGTTCTATTTGGGAAAAATGAGGCCTTTGAGGAGAACAAGAATTGTTTTGAAAGGAAAGAAGGGAGGCACTTTAATTAAAAACTCAAATGTTGGGTGTAACATATCTAAATTTGATTCTGACAGCAGAAATACTAAACAAATGTTCCTGACCAGGGAAACTATATGAAGATACAGTGCCTGCAGGATATAATAAAATAAGGACAACAGAGAATCCAGGAAATCAGTATACTAACACACAGCCAGGACTATGCTAAAAGATGGTGGGTACAGAGATTACAAGGTAAAAATCAAATACCATTACAGAAGACTAATGAAGTGAACTTGGCAATAGATTGTGTGTCAGTATCAAAGGAACACATGAAAGATAACTCCAGAGTGGAAAGTATTCTGCCCAATAAGTGAACAAGTGATTGTTTATCAAGAACATTTGATATGTATCTTTTTTTTATATATAAATCACTTCGTTCAACTAATGTGACATAGAACAGTAATCATTACCCATATTTTAGAGATAGGAAAGGAAGAACAGACAGTTTGGATATATCATCCAAGGTCATATACCTGATTAACAGTGATCACATGTGATTTTTACAATACTACAATTAAAATATGATAGCCAGGCAAGGATGAATACCTGTGTGCTAGATGATGAATTGTAGCATGTGTATAAATTAATAGTTCACATATATTTACTATTTTATTGCTATACCTTATCAATACATTAAGCAAGTTTGTGAATATTGCAATACCTGTCTGTAATTTAAAGCATCCAGATAGACTGAGTTTTGAGCAAAAATCACAGATTTACAAGGCATGTTGATTCCTAAAGCAAGTGTTCCAGTAGCAGTCACCACCTAAAAGAGAATAACATAATTACTTTGTGCAATAGCATTTTCAGAGAATGCAAGTATTTCCTCCCATAAAGTTATTTAAAAAGTCTTTAAGCTTTGATTAAATCATGGTACAGAAGCGAAACATACTAAACATATTGCTATTCTTTCTAGTCCCCAAACATGACAAGCACATTCTCAAGCCAGGGCCATTACTATGCTGGTTGTTTTGCACAGAATATATTCCTTCAGTTGTCTGCTCACATGTCACAAAGGAATTTCTGGACCGCCACATCTAAAATACTCATCCTGTACCATCACTATCTACCTCTCTCCCCCACATTATTTATCTTCCTAATATTAACAACTACCTCAATAATAGTGCCTGTTTGCTTATTTTTCTTATGCCAGACCCAAGCACCAGTCACCTTTGTGTCCCCAGCACCAAGAGCACCTGGCATATGGTAAATGTTTCAGCAAAATTTTCAAAAAAATTATTAGAAAGGGAAGTTTTTATGATAAGGACATCACACTTTCACAAACCAATTTCTGGGCCATTAGTCTACTAAATTGCTTTGAGGTTACATAGAAATAACATATCTCAGTCATAAGAGCAAAATAATTTTTTTTTAACCTCTGACTTTCTATGACAATTGGAATAGGGTAAAATCCGAAGCCTACTTCGACAATCTAACATCTCATTATTTTGTAAGGCTTGGCATTTCTACTTGTCCTCTCTTTCTCTTTTTATTTTCATATATGCTATGGTTAACGTTAATATTTAAGGATATGCAGTCATATTCTCTAATTATTCCGTAACTGAGGTCTATTCCATTTGTCAAAATGCAGCATATCATTTATTAAATGTTTTCCTAAGTTCTTTAGTAAGAACAAAAATGGAGAAAATAAGAACATTAAATTTAGAAAATCACTAGAATAAATACTTGTTTAAAATGTGTTCTCTAAGGAGGGCAGAACAAGCCCTGCCTGGGCGGGGTTAGTACCAGTGGGAGGGAGGAGGAGGCGGGGAAATGGTGAAGGAAGGTGAATGAATATAGCACAAATACTGAGTACACATGTATGTAAAAGGAAAAATGATACTGTTGAAAGGACTCCAGGAATGGGTGGAGAAGGGGATGAAGGAGAATAGTGGAGGGGATAAATTCAAGTAGGATATATTTGATACATTGTAAGAACTTTTGTAAATGTCACAATGTAGCTCACTCAGCATAACAATAAATTTTAAACTATGTTCTCTATAACAAAGACACACACCACTTTCATCATGGTAGCTTTTTAAAGTGATCTAGTTATTCATTCATTAAACTATTCATAGTTGAGCATCTACTAATAAACAGATACTATTTTAGGAACAAGCTATGTTTATCAAAACAGATGTGCCTCTTTCCCACAATTCATAATAATGCAGAAAATTTTATCTATGGTTATAAACCTTTAAAGTAAATTGATAAATTGTTATTAACTAAGAGAAAGGCTAAACAAAGTTGTTAATGATATATTTTTGGTTTTCTAGATAACAAAATTGTCCTTTAATTATGATGTAAATTTTCTGTAGTACGCAGCTTATTATGATGAAATATGCTGCCTAACATGGTCTATCACTCCCTCCCTCTCTCCTTCCCTCTCTCTCTCTCTTTTTCTCTCTCTCTGTCTTCTACAGTACATACCATGCAAAATTTAAAATAAATAATTTTAGAAGTCAGGGTTTAGTTTTAAATATTACTTAAGACTCAAATTCACTAGGAAATTATCTAAACCCTCTTTGTGAATTTCTCCAGACTATCCTCACATACCCTCATGGGACATGCTAAGCAGAACAGCAAGGGTTTAGTTGGAAAGTTAATCTTGCTCTTGTTCACCATCAGTGACAGGAGAGAGATCATTTAGGACTGGCATATTCAAAACTTGCTAGCATTAATCACAGGCCCTAAGAAGCACATATTCTTGCTCTATTTCAGCTATTACATTAGAAAAAAAAACTGATCAAATCTCTACTATAGATGTCCTCCAAACCCATGAAACAACATCTGTATACAAAATCATATAAATAGCAGATAAAATTGGAAACAAAAAATCAAGAGGTGGTACCAAGGTCAACAGAAGTACATTTCATAATAGAAACATTATGTTTAGAAACATACCTGTTGAGGAAATAGTTTTATTCACATGAAAAGGGATATACTGACCGATACAAGCCCCCTCAAACTCCATAATTAGCTAAAGGACATACAGTCACAATAATATAGGACAATATACAAGAAACAAGGTGATTATATTTTTACTTTTCATGAACATTCAGTTTCATAAAGTCATAACTTCAATATTAAGAGTGAAAAATTTTACCTACCCTAATAAATCCTTTTCTGAAAAGAATTTCAACCAACTGTTTTTCTTTGGCACTCATGGAGCTATGATGATATCCAATGCCCCTTTTTGCCAAAGCTTTCAGTAGGTCACCTTTTCTTTCAAATTTTACTCGATCAAACACCTTCTGCAATGACTAAAAGAAGAGAAGTTTCAATAATTTCAATAATTTTTATCTAATTTTAACTTAAATCAGTCAAAAACGTGTTAAAATAACATGCCTACCATACAATAATTTGGCTTAATGAGGCAACTGTTAAAAGGGGGAAGGACCTGAGGGTGTAGTGGAAAAATTATGTACTCATGCATGAAAATGGAAAAATGAGATCTGTTGAAACTATTCCAGGAATGGCAGTGGAGGGGAGTAGAATGATGGAAGAAGTGAATTCAAATATGATATAGTGACACTTTTTTAAGTGTCACAATGTACCCCCAGTACAATAATAACATAATAATAAAAAATAAGCTAAAAAAAGAAAATACATACATAAATAAAACTTTTAAAAAAAGAAATAGACTCTACATGACTAAAAAGTACACTTTATGATAACAACAGTAACTATAAGAAAAATCTTCCCAATTCTTTCAATGCATGTCTCAGTCTTGCTCCACTTCCTGTGGTGAAGAAATCTAACCAAGAGTAAGTAAAACACCCAGGGAAGATGTGAGTGTGTGGATCTGCCTGTCTGAAGGATATAAAGTGACTATGGGGCCTTAGGAATTCTCTCTAGAGAGACAGAGACTTCTCCAAGTGTAGCCATAGATAAAAGAGACCAGAGGTTCAACCAGAAAGGCCATGATTACTTTCAAGCAATGACATTGCTTTCATTTGTTACTAATTTGTGTTTTCAAATTTCGACCATAAGCACATATAATTTGCAAAACAAAAAAAGGTTGCAAGGACAAAATGGCAAACCACTTTTAGATATTGCAATGCCTCCTTGCTAAAATGTTTCTGTTGTAAAATAGAAAGCCTTTGATTTTGATAAATGTTTTGAATATTATTTAAAGAATAGTATTTGAATATTCTCATTTGAAGTCTAGAATTCAGGCTGTGAAACACAATATAATGGGATGAAATAATGAAACAATACATGCTGTCTCTACAAGTCCTAAACCTCTCCTTTTTAGTTATGTACTGCAGAACCCTGGTGGGTTGTGTGTAGTCAGAAGATCCTATACAGAAACTTCTATTCTGATAGGGATTGCATGGAGTTCTTATGTTGAACACTATCTAGAACAAAGAAGCATTGACTGGTGAATGACATAATCTCTGGAGAGCCATTTCCTGCTAAGTGCTGACCTCAGGATCCATCACTTTTTGATCAGCATACGTGCAGTCCTGAGGGATTTCCATGTTCTTCTCTAGACTTTTCAGTAAATAATCATGTTCAGCTTCCTGTATTATGCTTTGATCCAGTTTTCTGGGTTTTTTCTGGCTTTTCTCATCGCTTTACAAAAATAAAATTTTTAAAAATGAATATTCATATTCAACCACCACAAAAAGCACAAAACATTCCATACCATGCTTATCCATCAGACTTTCATGGCTAAACACATCTATACTGTTATGATTGAGTCTCCTTCCATTAACACAACTGCTCTTCAGCATTGCAAACTCATGGTAAGTTGAAATAATTTCATTATGAATGTGTTTTCTGTGTGATGTTCCTTTTCTTTCTTGATGTAGCCCACATGCAAACACTAGTTTTCCCAGATGATCTTGCTTGATCTTGTCCATTTGGTGTTTGCTCTTCCTCACTTTCCATGAAATTGTCTTGACAATAAGGAAGTGTTTTCCTTGCTCCACATTGCCAATTCCAGGACATTCTCCTTCCTCCATGAAAAGGATGATACAGCTGCTCTGACTTTAGTTGCTAAAGGCACTCAGCTGCACATTCCCTAGAGAATTGCTCTCAGCCAATGAGAGCCATCTGGGAGGTTTCAGCCTCTCCCACGGGTGGAAAAGTGCCCCACAGTCAATACCTGACTAATATGAAGTATAAAAATCAGCTGTTTTGACTCAGGCGGGACAATTCTGTGGCATTCCAGGACTTCCAGGAGAGCCAGGCTCAGGTTATATTCTATAAAACCACATCCTTACTTATCTTCTTCTCCATCCTTTCCTCCTTTCCTCACTTTCTTCCTTACAATTCCCTCAAAAACACTTCCACAAATACCCCTATCTCAGCAAGATGTGCTACTAGGAAATCTGTGCTAACACACCCCTCCACAAACCTGGTTTAGACTCTCAAAATAACAACAGTATCCCACAATATAGCAGTCTTTTATATGCACTCAGATCACTTACCCTTTCTTCATTTTTAAGTCTGTTTCTTAACTGCACATTAGACAATTTTAAACATGAGAAGATGAATTCACTTGTATTCCATCATCCAGTAGTCTCATCTCCAACTAGCTTTATCCTTAACTCAGGGAAGAACGCCATGACTATAGAAAGGCCCAGTCCTATGTTTGCAAAGCATGAACCCAGGCACTTACAGAGATATCACTGCTTATTTTTCATCAAGATAACAAACCATCAAATAAAGTACATTCTATCCTCCTGGCTTCATAATAAACTGGAACTTAAAAGGATGAGAGTGAGCTCTGAGTGTGCATGTCTCCTTAATTCCACTGGCTTCTCCTTTTATGGAAATGGAGGAGGGTCAGAGTGGTAACTCCCAATGCACAAAGCCCAAGACAGATACTCCCTTACCCTCAGTATAATGATAGTGTTGAATAAGACATGGATATACTCTTTATTGTTATAGCTCAAATTGTTAGTCAATAATCCAACTTGAAATGTGGTCCTTAGAGCCCCAAAGAAAAATTTTGTAAAGGGCATTAGTTACTAAGAAAGACTATACCTTCTTCATTGTTCCCTTCTGGGATTATCACCTCCCATACTGCAGAGGAAATAGGAAAACAGGCAGAGGGAATATAAGCAGAAGAACCAGCAGCAAATTCCAGCTTGCTCTAGAAAATTTGAAATATTTGAATCAGAGATGCTCTAAATGCTCATCTCAACTTGAAGGGAAGTATTTACCCTTTAATCAAAAATATTTCTGAATGTAAGCCTACACACAAGAAAGATATTTGAACATCCATGTGTATAGCAGCACTATTTGGAATAGCCAAAATAAGGAGCCGGCCTAGGGCCCAACAACTAATGTCTAAAGAATATGTAATAAAAGCACAATATATACAGAACCAGAGTACCAAGGAGAAACCCCCTTGGACTTTCGATACACACTTAATTTTTAAAAATGAAGGTCAGGAGGGAAAAATAAATCTTTTCCAGGGGTGGGTGTCAGTGGGAGGGGGTGAACACAAGAAAAGGGGGAATGAGAGTGTATATGGTGGATGTGTTTTGTATCCATATATGAAAATAGAAGAATGAAACCTGTTGAAATTGTTCTAAGAAGGGGATAGGAGGAAGAGGGAGAATGATGGAGGTGGTAACTCTAAGATATACTATAAGACCATATGTAAATTTCACAATGTATCCCCCTGTACAACTATTATATGTTACTAAAATCATAAAAAAGTAAATGTGGTACTTATATACAGTGGACTATTATTCAACCAAAGAAGAATGAAATTATGTTATTTGCAAGAAAATCAATGGAATTGATTAACAATATAAGCAAAGGTCAGAAAGACAAATATCACATGTTCTCACACATATATAGAATTTAGACCTAAAAAAAATAATAGCATGACATGACTATAAAAGGAACTATTTTCAGCACTAGCAGGCAGGAGGAAGGAGAAAGGATAGGGTGACAGAGGGTGAATATTATAGAAATACATTGTGTGTGTGTGTGTGTGTGTGTGTGTGTGTGTGTGTGTATGAAAATAGGACAATGAAACCCACCAAAAACTGTTTAAAAGGAGGGTGGAGGGAGGGTAGTTAAGAAAGAGTAATGTAGATGGGATGAATTTGATCATACCACATGCTATAAACACCACAATGAGCCCCCCCCCTTGTAAAATTAATTTATGGCAATATTCTTAATTAAAAATTATTTCTGCAGCAATTTTTATCTGCTCTACTATGTGCTAAGCACTAGAGATGCCAAATGGAAAACACATGGTTCCTCTTGTAAAGAAGCTTAAAGTTTAGGAAACAGAAATACAGCTTAAGTGCCACTTATCCAAAATGCTTGGGACATGATTTTTTTTCAGATTTTGGAATATTTGCCTATACATAATGAGATATTTGAGGACAGGACCCAAGTCTAAACACCTAATTTATTTATGATTCATTTATACCTTATACACATCACCTGGAGATAATTTTATAGAATATTTTTAATTATTTTGTGAATGAAGCAAAGTTTCATGGTATGGAATTTTCCACTTGTAGTGCCATGTGAGCACTCAAAAAGCTTCAGATTGTAAAGTAGTTTGGATTTTGGATTTTCAGATAAAGGGTGCTCAACCTACAAACAAACAACAGAAATACATTATAGTAATTGATCTACTAGCTAATGTGGGAGAACACAGAAGAAAGGGTACTAAGTCTAAGATGGGGATCAGGACAAGCTTCAGAGAAGAATTAGAAAATTTATGAATACACATTTTGTGAGCAACCAGGAAGGAAGACACTGAGGGCAGACAGGACAGACCATGGAAAGAAAGAGATGGAAGAACAAGGTTATGGAAGAAGCACCACAAATGTTAAGCAATTCTAAGAGGGGAGTGCAGGAAGAAAGACTGAAAAAGTGAAGACAAAGACCAAAACTTGTTGGAATATCAATAATTCAGAGTTAGACTTAATTGGCTATACAAGGAAGAAGGAAAAATGTTAAATATGGGATAATTTATTCTGAATATTTGCAAGAACATTTGTTGACTAGACTGAAGAGTGGTAAACCTCAGTCTCTGAGGTCCAAAAAGAAGACCTCTCCAATCATCCAGTGAAGACATGGTAAGTATCTAACCCAGGTAGCAACTACAGATGGAGAGGACCACAGGGAAGAACAAATATTTGAGCCTTAGAATTGACAGAATTAGACATTGAGAAAAAAGAAGAGGAGTCACAATAGCAATGTTTTACCAATATAAAATTGATGTTTCAATCCATTCCCAAGTTCATTTTATGACTCATACTGTGATATTTTGTGACTCAGGACAATGTGTATGGATGATGTTTAAGCATCCTGTAGGGTGACTGAGAGTAGGAGTTCACATGGGTCACTGAAGTAGGCCTGTTTCTTGTACTCCCTCCCTTGCTGGAGTGAGGCTTTCTCTCTCGCTCTTGGTTATTACTGGACCTAACTGGGCTTAACTGGGGGTGACTGGAGATTTTAGAAAAGACAGAATAGACAGACAGACAGATAGTTGGGGTCAGATGTATTGTAAGCTCGGCTCTTGATGCACACCACAACCCTTCTTGCTTCTCTTCTCCATCTTGATTCTTTAAGGCTGTACTCCTTGCAGTTCTTTAAAACCTCGCTTCTAAAGCCTTCCTTAAAACCTTGCTTAAAACCTCTTTCCTTAGGCTCCCACTGTCCCATGTTTGCTCTTAGCTTATCTTTAGCTTAATTGCTCAAGTCTTTTGCCCCCAGGCTTGCACTGTCCCATCTCTCTTTAGCTCTCTCAAAGCCCTGGTGCTCTTGCAAGCCAGCATCCATGCCTAAAAACTGCCTATGCATAACCCTTAAAGACTTGGTCCCTAGACTTGCACTGTGCACTGTCCCCTGTTCTCTTTGGCTTTTCTTTAGTTTAGCTTTCCTAAGGCCTATGTATGAAGTTCTTTCTCAGCTTTGCTTCCTGAAGCCTATGTTAAAGTTCTCAGTGCAAACTTTCTGTCAACCCCTCTGTAGCACTTTCCCTTTAGCATTTTCCCTTCAACAATTCTTTTCCCTTCAGCAATTTTTCCCTTCAATAATTCTTTTCCCCTCCAAAAGCTTCCCATACCAAAAAGCCCAAAGTAAAAGCTTCTTTCCAATATTCAAAGGCAAAAAGCCCCCAAAGCAAAAAGCCAAAAGCCAAGCAAAAAGTCCAGAAGCCCAAAGTACAGCCCCCAAAAGGCAAAAGCAATAGCTCCCAGGCCTCCTTCAGCTAAACAGCGGCAGACAGGGTGGAGCAGAGGAGAGCATGGCATTTTAACAGGAGAACCTGTGTTCCTGCTTCTCTGAACACAAACTTAGGAGATGCAGCTGTTCTGCTTTTTTCTGTTTCATGGCCAAGGACTGTGCCTATCTCGGCCAACAGGTAAAAGCATTTAACTGCATCTTGCCTTGGCTGTGTCCAGTTCTCATAGGCTTTAATCTGTTCCCCACAGGTCACAGATGTGGTTATTTTGCTGGATGATCATGTCGACTACATCATCTATTTAGATTGAAAGTGTGGACCTACCTCTTACCACTCTTAAATGAGACTGATCAGTCAACTAAAGGATATATGGTTTTGGTCACTTGGCTTTACCACATTCTCCTCTTCAAATTTGCAAGTAAGTCCAAGCAATGACTCAAACCTCTTTATTGAGTACATTCAATGCATGTTTCCTGTGGGAACATGTGAAATATTTTAGCCTTTTGGTGATCAATTTGTTTAGTGAAATACTTACATTATCTTTTGTTTCTCCAGGGATTTTTTAACTTTTCTAAGTTTATTAGCCATGATGTGGGCTTCTTTATCTGCTTTAGGAGGCCTTTTCTTCATCTCTTTTTCCTCCAGGAATTTTTTCACACTATCAGCACATTTTTCTACAGTTTCTAACTTGAATCTGGAAAAAAAATGAAATGAATGCTTGCCTTGAAAAGAATATCACAGCTAAAATTCAGTATTTCCATCTACTACTACTATCCTGACATATCTGTATGAAATGTGGGTGTTCTGTACCCCCACACTTCTTTACTACCTTATATTAAAACAGTAAATTTCCCTCATCCCATACTTTTTGTCTAAGGCACTGCAATAAGAATGCCTGGAAATTATTCCTATAAAAGTAGTCAGCAATTCCACAGGCAAGGAGAACAATGAATTTTCCTCATTTATATACAGAATATTCCTTAACTTTCCTGAAAGAGGAGGTGAAAAGTTTTTAGTCAACAAAAATTTGTTCTTTTAGCAAAATGGAAAGAATAATAATTTCTCACTCCCAACCTTTTGTAACATAACTGCTTCTTTCCAGGGACCACATAAACCCCAGATGTTATGACTTTTACAATCCAGAAACGTCTCCAAGGTCTAGCCTTTATACTTTCTGAAATGTAAATGCCCAAGCATGGAGTGGTCCAGACTTCTTGGCACCTTGGGGCTTAACCTATGGACCTAATCCAGATTGTAACCATTTAGACTTCTCAGATCTGAGCAGTCAATTAAACAAAAGGCTACAGATCAAATTGTCCTGATTTGTGAAGAGTAAAATGCTTCTAAAAGTAAAAGCAAACATTCCTCATGTTTACATATTGCATGAATTGCCCAGTGTCAGGAATCTAAGGTTTTTTTTTTTTTTTACAGGAGCACTAAAAAATTTTTCATGTAAGTTTTATCTTGCCATTATAACTTGGCAAAATGCTGTGGACAGAAGTAGCCAATAGGTATTATCACTATACTAGCCAGAGTGGATTGCAGCACATAATAGGTTAGGTCTATATAATAAAGTTTTAAAATTTAAACTATAAAGCAACAGGCTTTTCTTAAAAAGTCTAAACAAAGCTATGACTAAAAGGAAACATGGCTAACTAGTGAAAAGTAGATAAATTGGCACACTGGTGAAAATAAGGATTAAGAAAGTGACAGCATATGACACATAGCAAGAAATTTGATATAGCACACAATATAATAACAACAGTAAACATTTCTATTATGCAAACTACTTTCAGATGCAATTCTAATTGGCTTAAATATATTAACTCATTTGGTACTCACAACAATCCTTTGAGGAAAACACTATGATCCATATTATTATTTGTGTTTTATTATCCCTATTTTGCAGATTAAAAAATAGAGATATATGAGATTAAGTGACCTGCCTGAGGGCACACAGCTTGTATGTGGCAGAGTCTGTCCTGCAATCACATGTTCCTAACTGTAGACTTATATTGCTCCCTTTTTCCATTAAAGTTACTGGAGTGTAAACACATATTATTTTATTAAATAGTGTCACTTTCATCATAATATGTCATTGGAAGTAACCGATCGTAGAACAATCGGTCAATAATTGATCATAAATCAATAATTTTCATAGTTCACTTGGAAATAATTTTGCCTCCTAAATCTCATAACCTATATTAAAATAAATATGAGCCAGAGATTATACCTTAGCTAGTAATACTTTGTGGAACTGTATTAAGTGCTTTCATGATCTATTTTTATTTAACTTCATCCCAACCCTATGTATTGTTTTATTATTGCAAATGAGAAAACTAAGATTCAAAGGCATTAAGTAGCTGTCCAGCTAATGGAGGCAGAAGTGGGATTCAAGCTTGGACCTGTATTAAGTGCACACTGGTATTGCTCCAAATACTAAATTTATCCCACATATTTTTTTTTTACTGGACACTAGGTTATAGAAGGTTGATGGGTACTAGACTATCTGAAAAACTCTTACAGGTACAACTTGAAACCAGAAAAATCCCAAATCTTTTGATGAACTTTACCAAACTGCATAAGAGCTTGAATTAAGTCTTTCATGCTTTTGTTAAATATTCTCCTTTTCAAATACTTTAAGAATGCAAAATTCAACTATATTTCTCTATCATATTCCCTATTTTCTGTTAAAAGTACTTGAAAAACAGCAGGTACTAGTAAATCACTCTAACCTTTCTTCTTTTTTCTGAAAAGCAGGAGATTAAATGCAAATGAGAAAAATGTTCTTCTTATGCCACAAGGAGAATAATATTCTTTTATCAAGGATAAGAAGATAAGGCTAAGGGAAATCTATATGAACCTTGTTAAACTAACCCTATCATCCTCGTCACTTTTCCACCCAATTAACTATCCCTGCCCATAGCCCCTTTGCTATGTCACATATTCTTAACTTACTGTTCTCTGTCCAGTTCTGTATTAACTGTTCAACCCTTAACTGTGTCTTTGGGTCTTCATTTCCTTATGAAGGCTTCCATACCCATAAAATTTATTTTACATTAATTTGTGTACTTTTTTCCTTTCATCTCTCTCACCTCAGTTTAATTCTCAAACCCAGCAGAAAAGTCCTATGGGCAACAAAGAAAAGTTTTTCCTCCCCTATTTATTTTTTGTGGATTTCCATTTTGTAGTTAAGCCTTCAGAAATAGCCCAGAGGTACAGAATGGGTGTTGTTTCTAACTAACATCTATAACCATTCTTCAAAGTGAACTAGGTATACTACATAAGTTCTTCATGGTACAGAAATTTGTTTTCCTTGTTCCAACACCAAAGATAAAGTGATCTTACATTCATTTATCATCATTGTTTTGAATATACATCACCAATGATAATTCATTGCTATAGATCTGTTTGCATGTGAACAGGTTTCATTAAACCTTACCACCAAAGCAAGATGTGTGGCTTTATTTACCTGAAGAGTCCATGACTTAATATAGTTTAAAATTATCGACAGCAAATAAAGTATTCTCATCTGATCATAAACTATGTTATCAGTGTTAATTCAGGATATAAATTGTTATCCAATAAATTCTACTCTGGTGTCATTTTATCAAAACTAGATCAACTAAACTCCTACATTCAATTCTAAGCTACTTTATACTATAACATAAAATCTAGCAAGCTATCAGTGTCTGTGGGTCATCATTCTCATCTCTATAAATTAAAAATACCAAAATATCCTGGCCATAAATACTCTAGCATCTTGTGAGAAAATTTAATTTTATGTAGGATACTTGAGTGTATATACACACAATTTGTTTTGCAAGGAACCTAGGTAGGTACTGAAAATGAATAAAACCTAAAAAATTATAATAGGTTTACAGTAAAAACAAAAAAAAATGCAGTAACATAATAAACAAAATAATTTCTAATGTCATACTAAAATATTTTATAAAACGAGTTAACTAGAAAGTTGTGCTTTTGAAACAAGAATATGCACTTGAATAACAGAAACAGTAATAAATACTATATTGCTACAAGAAAATTCCTATAATTCTGCTCACCTTAAAAGGAGTTTAATGAAAATCACACTAGAAAATGGAATGCAATGACTTACATGAAAAACAATGCGGGCAACTTCTCAATTTTCCTTAGCTTTTCAACAAGAAGTGGGAACTTGTCCATCATGTTTCCTGAATAAGAACCCAAATGAGGACGAAGATATCTCAGCACCATTTTGGCCTGCAGCAGTGAATTAGATATATATATAATAAGTTCTGTATAGCAAAGACAGAATTACCACTTCTGGCTAAAGTAGTTCCGTAGTGATCTTGATATAGGGGCTAGACAAGGAGTTAAAAAACCTGATGGCCAAAAAACACGGCTTGTATGTTGATAAGAATCACAGCCTATACTGTTGACATACAGCAGGGTCTTGCTGATCTGGAGCCTCTGGAGCCATAGAAAATAGGAGCCCCAGTCTGACCATGTGGGAGGAGTTGATGGCACATAATCCAGTTTCTGAAAGTTAATAACCCATAACTCAGTTTTCCAGCACTAATCACCCCCGTGTCTACAGACCCCAGTTAAAGCTTGAGGTCTTGGGATCTCCAACACAGTGCTCCCTCTTTCCTTTCTTTCTTATTGTGTCTCAGAATCACTAGACCTCATGTTCAACTGAAAATTCTAAAATAAACATTGAAAAATGGTATTAATTAAATGATACAATTCAAGAAAACAATAGACTCTAGAGAAAGTTTTGGCAAAAACATGAAAATTACCTTCTCTTCATTGCCATTTTTAATCCAATTTGTTAATTCCACCTTTAAGCTCTCTTCATACTTTCTAGCATCCAACTTTTTAATGACTACTTTATCCTTAAAATGAATGAAGTTCTCTGGACACAGTTCCTGGAAAACAAATACCATAAAGTCAAATTGTGCAAGAAAATCCAAAGATATTCCTTAATTTTATTTTTCACTGACAGGATTTCAAGAGGTCAAGATGGTTGAACTTCTTTTTAACTCCCCATAGCTTCTAATATATACAACTTTTAGTATGCGTGGACTCTTCAAAGGAAAGAATACAGAGCATCCAAGTTGAAGAATAAAATAAACAGCAATCAGGACACAGAGAAAGGAGGCAAGTGTGATGAAAGAATTCAGAGGACTAGAAATACAAGGTGTAAGGAAGACTAAAATATTAAAATACTTGAAAGAAGAAATATTTTCAGGAATTTAAATAAAATACCATTTAAAAACTCAATAAAATAAGAATGTACAAGAAGAGACAATTTTATTTTGGAAAAGATCCACTAGTAGTTTTAAAATATCAAATGAAAGTGCTTAAAAGGGTGAGAGTTTGTCTTTCTGTACACAAAATTATCATGTTCCGTGATAGCATTCATTCCATGAATATTATTTACCTGGGCCTGGGGCCATGTTTTCCAGACTTGAAACATAGTGTCATAAAGCTGGATGCTTTCTCGAGGTGAAAGACTAAGATCAGAAGGGAATCCATATCTTTCAATCTATGTTTAAAATAAAATTGAACTTTTTAATATTCTTATTCTTTTATTCTTTATCTCACAGTCACTATCAATAATCCAAAGACATTGAAAAGTGACAAACTAAAATTATTCAATGTTGGTAGTACTAAATGCTAAGAAAAAGAGCAAAAATTCAACAAAAAAGCTTAATTTTCTAAGACATCTTAATTAGGCTAATTTTCTATGGACTAAACTTATAATTCAAATCAGAGTACTAGGAAGCCAAAAGATTTTTGGACTATGTTTAAACAAAAAGGCACAATCTCTACCCTGCAGTTGAAACTGAAATTGGCTTAATTATGAGCATAATTCTCTACTTTTATGCGTACCAAGCCAGGCAAAAAATGGCAAATCTTTGCGTAAGTTCCAAAGCAGAAAATGGGTCAACTTCAAGACAAAGGCTCTCAGAGCATCTTCAAGACCCTCCAAAAGTCATCTTCAACAGGTACAATTTACTGAGGTAGGTCTCATTTAAGTCTTCTGGATATTCCTGCCATTTTTTTCCATAAACATTTTAAGTGGACACACACATGAAAAAAAAATTATTATAGTATTTCCTACTGATTTATACCACTACTGCTACAAATTAATTGCATGTGAAAACTTGATCCTGATATACTAGGATTTGAACTCAGGAGCCCAAGTATGAGTGTTCTACCACTTGATACACAGCCATTTTCTCTTTAGGGTCTCATGTTTTGTGCCCAGGTCAACCTTGCACCACATCTTTCTATATATGCCTCCCTTATAGCTAGGATTACAGCTATATGCCACTATACCCAGTTCCTGAGATATTAATAAGTATTTGCTATAGATTGAAGTTTGTGTCCCCTACAATTTAATATGTTGAAAGCTAATGTGATGTTCTTTGGAAGTCTGGTTTTGGGGAGACAATTAGGTATATGGGTGGGACACTGAATGGGATTAATTTTGTTATAAAAGAAATTCCATTCTGCTCTCTTGACCTTTCTTCCTTGTAAGAACAGAGCAAGAAGACAGCCATCTATGAATCAGAAAGTGGGTGTTTACACCCACTGTAAGAGAAAATTTGTAAGACAGCAAGCTTTCTAACTCCTTGATCTTGGACTTTCTAGCCTCCAGAAGTTTGTTTATAAAGCCACTTTGGCTATGTCATTTTTTAATAATACCCCACTGAATAAACTAGTATTCTTCCAAAAAAGGGATGGGAGAAATTTCATGTGTCTTATAAGTAGGATTCTTTGAGACTTATTATTGAAAATCCTAAATTTCAAAGAAGCAATTACACTATGCAGATTTCTCCAAACTAATTCAACAATAGGTTATAATAATAATTAGCAAATAGCTGTTAGCAGATTATGAAACTCAGTTTTGGAAATTCAGACTAAATGAGCCACTCCAAACTCAACACAGCCAAAAAGACAAAGAAAAATAGACTGGAGATGCTATTTGGTAGAATGGACAGTGTAGAAGAGTTAAATTAAAAGATCCAGTCTAATTAGTACATGGAAGCAATGCTAGGAATCTCTCTGTATAGCTATCCTTATCTCCACTAACAAAAATGCTTTGTCTTCCTTATTATTGCTTATGTTTTCTCTTCAACAAAATTAGAGATAAGAGCAGAACAGGTTCTGCCTGGAAGCAAGGGGGTGGAGGAAGAGGGAGGGGACAGGGGATAGGGGGGAGAAATGGCCCAAACAATGTATGCACATGTGAATGAATGAACAACAACAAAAAGATCCAGTCTAATTCTACCTCTAAATGCTTCCTCCTTACATAGAATAAAAATACTCATACTTCCACCTCACAGACTGTGGTGTGATCAAACAAAAGTAGTATACGATCATGTGTTCTTTAAGATTTTAAACTACAGTATGCAAAAACTTGCATGGAATTATCATTAAGCATCTCTCAATTTGAGCATAGAAAACTGACTAAATGGTAAAGACCACACTGTGCCAAAATTCTAAATGAACTATTATTTTGTTCTCTTGTTAATTACTTAAGAGTAGTTACTTATACTGCCTAACTAAATAAAATAAAATTAAAAATCTAAAATAGGTCCAAGAATGATTATAAATTTTAATACATAAGTCTTCTGTTTTGGTCACTAGACTACTTATGGTTTCTTAAGTCTCTTAGCCTTTTACAGAGGCCTCAGTTCGATCACTTCTACAATGGGAGAGAAGTCTCTCTGTGCCATGGATTTGTTGTGAGGAATTAAAGTATGTAATAGATACAACAAGCTGAGCAAAATGTCTCGCACATGATGGGTGCATCAGTTGTCATATCTTTTAAACCAATTAAACAATTCCAAGGCTAAATGATAGCAATTCGATTTAGTTGTTCTCAACTACACCACAAATGATGAACTGAAAAGACTTTAGCCAGCCTTACAGAGAATAAAGAGAAATCAAAGTGAATTTGTGTCACCTTTTATTTATAAACACAATAAAATTCTACCATGATGCTATTTTTGCAAACCACATTTCCCTCACTGCTACACATACCAATGAGCATTGATTCACGGAGCAATAGGAGACCGCAGATCTTTCACGGACTTCCTGGAGCTGACGGCTCTCCAGAGTTGACAGCTCTTCCCATGTGGCATGATAATTGGTGGCAAGGCCAAACAGCTCTGCTCATAGCCAAAAACAAGCCATATATGGGTTGAGGGCAAGCCTTCTCTGGTGAGCCCTCACCACTGCTGGAATGGGATCAGCTCACTTGTCTGTCCCATCGCTTCCCTGCTGAAATCATTTTTCTGACCTAGCTATAGAGGAAAGAGTCAAGGTGGATCACTCCTCTCTTAATGTTCCTACAATGTCAATGTACTATGTTTTTCCTTGCCTCTCAGTTCTTTCATATTAATCTGAAGTACACTAGATAAGGTTAGGAATCATTTACTCATTTGGAAATTCTACTTACTTTTTTATAATTGCTACTTGAGGAGATGCCCTATATAAACATAGGCTATATACGCAGCTATCAAAATATGTCTAAAAATGCTCAAACTTGTGTATTTATTTATCCTACATCTCTGCTACCAAAGTCCAGAAGTCTTAAGGCCCATAAAACAGCATAACCTTTGCAAAAGTCATATGGGGTCAAAGCACACTGTAGCACTTCTAATGCTTTCCAGTTATTCCATTAATAGCTGCTGAGAAGAGAGGAAAGGCACTTGACCAAAATGATAACTTCAGCAAGTACTCCAAACTGTGGACACTCGCTGTTGCTTAAAGATAACCTGCCTTGGAAAATGGCATTTTAAATGAAGTAAAGCAGACTCAGAAAGACAAATAGTGTATGTTTTCTGTCATATTTGGAATCTAGATCTAAAAACAAAAGACATGAAATAAAAGGGAGACAACTAAGGGGGAAGAAATAGCAGGAGGTGGGGGGGAGAGAAAACGATCAGGTCGGATATAATTGTATACTTATATCAAAAGGTCATAATGAAAACCATTTAAAAATTTATTAAAAAGTTTTAAAGTATGTGAATAAATGAACAACAACAACAAAAAAGTTTCAAAGTGGGGGTGGAAAGGTAGATTAGAAAGAGTAATAGAGTGGTGAATATAATGAAAATATTCTATATGAATGTGTAGAAATATCACAATGAAACCCCTCACTTTGTACAATTAACATATGCTGATAAAAGTAATTTTTTAAAAAGAAAAAAAAGATAACCTACCTTGAACCATCTTACACAAAATAAATAATTTTTGAACTGCATTTTTTTTAAAAATACCAGGTAATGCTAAAGAGTCAGATACTCTTTTGAGTATACTGAGTCAGAAAGGAAGGAGGGGGAGAAGGGAGAAAAAGAAAACATTCTTTTATTATTTAAGTCTGAGTTTTTGTCTATATTCTAAGTTTGGAGTGTAAATTAAATCATAAGAACTTTGTCTACATTTTAGTTTTATTTAGAGTTTTGATGAGGCTATTTACAAAAAGAGTGAGAGAGAAGCTTCCCTCATAAAATTCCATTAGAAAATCACCATCATTCTGATTTTTTAGTTATTTTAGAAGCCATTGCAGCACTAGCCCAAAGGCTATATACTCATTCACACGCATGTTCAACAGATCCCTCACAGTGGTGGAGACCATCTGTGACTGCACCCTTTACCCACCATTTGCTTAGTGGTGCAACATTGAGTAACTTAAGTTCTCTATGCCTCACCTTCTTAATTTGTAAAATGGTAAGAGTAATAAGACATCTATTACACAATCTTTGTGATGGTTGAAGGAGGTGAAATAGGCAAAATTTTTAGATTTGCAAAGCAAATATTGATTTTGGTTTACTACTTTTATTCAACATATATTTAGTAAGCACCTTTAACTCACAAAGCAGTTTATTACAAACTATAAAGACATGAAGTTTGTCTTCAAGGAATTAGTCAAGGAGAGAATAAGATGGCGGATAGCTGATGGACCCTGGGACTTTGACCTGCACAATTTCAGACAAATACTCCAGATTTTTGTGGTAGCAAGGAACAGGTAATTCTGCTTTTTCTACCAAGTAAGATACTGCCAATACATAGGTGGTGCATAATATTCATTGACCAACCGTTAAATTAGCTTTCTATGGCACATAACATCTGAGCACTGGGTCAGGCAGCCACAGACCCAATGGTGTGTCTGTTCACCAGCTGAGAAGCTGCCTTTTTTTTCTCTTTTCTCTTCCTTTCTCTCTTATTTCCTTTCTGCCTTGGTCAGTAAAGCAAAAACGTGGTGCAGAGAACTGCAGAAAGAGATCTGCAAGCATCTGGGACAACCAGGACTCACCAAAATACAAATGAACACAGAGCCTCTTACTGCTGCCTGCATGTGTTGCCCTGGAGCTGACTTATTTCCACTGGAGTGAGTCAGCAACCCTGCCAGGTGTGCCCAACACACCATCTGTTTTAGAGGGAACCACATAGTCTTGCACAGCTGGGAGACCAATTGCACCCCCCTGAACAAAACTGATGGCCAAATACAGGAAGGGAACAGTTCCCTTC